TTCAGTGTTGTGTTGTCGACGGGTCCGTGGAAGCTGAAGCGAGGTGCCATGATTAGAACACAGTCATCGCTATTCCATATAAGAGATGCTTTTCAGAGATTCTGAAGGCGGTGCCGGTCAGTTTGCCATCTGGCATGTGTGGCTGGGGTTCTGCTATGATGGCTTCTAAGCATGCAACACTTCGACATAAATCATTGCCAATTCAAATAATCCTATAACCAATAGTGAACGACGGATGATACGGTTTTTGGATAGTTGAGGTTATCACGATAGGAACTTTCTTTTGCCATAAGAATGATAATCAATTGTCAAAAAATAAGGAATATCTCCGTGCTTTAGTTATTCTGTAGTCTGACGCCGAAATATGGGGCTACGGCCAGCCCATGTTCCACATCCAGCACGTGGATGGAAGTTTAAGAGCATCTGCAACACCTCAACAGTCCCCGCAAAGTTGTAGTCAGCGACTCGGAAGCTCTGGCTGGCTAATTGGCAGTGGACTATCCGTACTTCAGTTTCGGTCTGAAGTCAGATGAAAGAACATAAGAAGTTAGGTAAGCAATTGGTATGGCCGCCAGCCTTGCTTGATTGCTGCAATTTTCTCTCTGAACACAGGGTCCCGATCCTCATCGGACATGCTTCTAATTAATAGCTTATGTGAGTATTCGCGCCGCTTGCTGTTGCGCCTGGAGGATATCCGCTGGCTTTACGCCTTTGTTCGACAGCAATCTGACGGGACTGGGTCAGAAGGGCGCGGGTGCTCACTGGCCAGTCGAAGCCCGCCCCCACAATCCCCAGAGTGCCTGGTTGATTATATAAGGTTAGTATGAGGGAATACTGGGCTTGACAACGATGCCAATGACGCATACTTTTATACCCGATAGACGATCTCTAATAGCATTCGACAAGTGAGTTAGGGTGACTTAGACTACTTTACTTATGTCATACTTCACCACATTGATACTAATTCTCAGTCAAAGGAACTGAGCAATATCGCAACTCAACATGACTGCGATATCCGCTCCCCCACCTGTTCACTCAGCCCTAGATGCCATCGGCAACACACCATGCGTACGACTGCGTAGTGTTGTACCGGAAGGTAGCGCCGACGTGTATTTGAAGCTTGAGTCTCTCAACCCCACGGGCTCCTACAAAGATCGCCTGGCCAGAGCCATTGTTGAAGAGGCAGAGCGCCGAGGAGACTTGAAGCCAGGCTCGACTATAGTCGAAGCCACCGGCGGTAGCACGGGGTCTTCTCTGGCCTTTGTATGCACCTTGAAGGGGTACGGGTTCCATGCCGTCTGCTCGGATGTCTTCGCCAAAGAGAAATTGCGCACGATGGCTGCTTTCGGGGCTTTTGTCGATATCGTCCACAGTCCCACCGGAAAGATTACGCCAGATTTGTTTCCGTCTATGGTCAAGAAGGCGAAGACAATCGTCGAAGAAAACGAGGGGTACTACGCCGCAGACCAGTTCAAGAACAAGGACTGTATGGCGGGTTACAAGACTCTTGGAGACGAATTGGCCCAGCAGTTTCCGCAAGGAATTGATGCCTTCTGCGGTGCCATTGGCGGCGCTGGCATGGTGATGGGAGTTGCAAAGGTGCTTAAAGGTGTGCGTGCCGATACAAAGATTATCACGCTTGAGCCTGCATCATCGCCCGTTGTTGCCAAGGGGCACGGAGGTGTCCATGGAATTGAAGGTATCAGTCCCGGATTTGTTCCCCCATTGCTTGACGACACCTTATACGACGAAGCACGAGCGTATCCGGAGGATGAGGCGCGGGCCATGTGCCGTAGACTCGCAAAGGAAGAGGGACTTTTGACGGGAACTTCAACAGGACTTAATGTTGTTGGAGCTCTTTCCTTGGCTAAGGAACTTGGTCCTGGCAAAGTGGTTGTCACGGTGGCTTGTGATACGGGTCTTAAGTACACGAGCGGCACTCTGTATGAATAGTTCCACTGCAGAGTTGAAAGACGCAACTCAATGAGATGGGAAGTCAACTCTACAGTATCCTTGCTTGAGGCATTCTGGTTGGTGTTCAAAGTGCATGTTATGTTATCCATTAGTTTGAACGGCATTATCAATCAGCTGGCTATTGCAACGTCTAATTCCTTAAACAAAACGGCTCTAAGCGCATTGTTGAAATTGAAATATCATGTGTTGTTGAGATTACGAGTCCTCAATCTTTCATGATATTCCCCACGCGCACGTCATGGGTTGACTCATCATCTTCCAGCTTTGCATGTGATCGACAGTCAAACCATACCTGAGAAACATACTTAGAAGTGTGCTCTGTTCATTGGAAGATCATCGGGCTTGCTTTCCCCCGCCCAAAAATGCCAGCTCGACCGACGCGCTTTTGAAGTAAAAACTATCAAGTTGGAAGGTAGGAGGAGGCTCCTATTTTAAATGCAACCATTGCTCAGATCCCAAGCCCAATCCTGGCCTCAGAACTGTCACAAGAAACACCTCAATGGTCACTCGTTGATGGGCAGTTTTCTAAGATTGGCGCGAAACCCCCGCTTTTAGCGTGCCGTAGCTTGATCCCTGAATGCCAATAATGCCCGCAATGTTTCGATGGGTCTTGGTTCGTCACTGCGGGAGTCGTTCCCACAACCATCTTGAAGCCAGCAGATGTATTCAACGGTCAGCTTGTAGGAACAGCATCACTGCCTTCTAATGACCATTGTAGGTTGAGCTTACGGCTCAGTGAACGTTGCAGAAGATGGAGATTCTCCAGAAGCTTCCAAGCTTGCAGTGGGAGTACAACATTTTGCCAAGGGGCTCGGGAATATACTCGCGCGTTCCGCGGAGAGTTTTGTTGGGGATGCTGAGAAGCAGACTGGAGGTCAACGCTTCGCGCGTAACGCTCCACTCGCTGTAGCTACACCCGGCGGGGGATAACGCGCCCTATCGTATCGTTTCTTTTCGAGATGACCTCTTCCCTGTGCCCCCTTCGCTCCCCTAAGTCCCCTCTCAACCTCTCCACCCAGGCTTTCCACCAATCCAAGAATCCTGGGGTCGCATCCGGTTAGCCGAGAGCTGCGGGAAGCTTTGCCAATGCAGCAGTGTTAACCCACCGGCTCTTGGCCCTGAAGTTGACTCAGATATGCGCACATAGGCGTGTCTAACCGCCGGTTATGGCTTATGGCGCTGCTGAAGCAGCTTCAGGCCGGACCGTGTTGGACAGGGGAGCTATTATTGCTCGACCGATTCCCGAGGTGGTGAGGCGGGAACCCTGAAGCTTCAAAACCCCTCACCCCTCATTCTTTCGTGTGCTGAAGCTGTCTGACAGCTTGCCTTGCCGTTCTTCAAGATCTGTTGTTCGTTCAACCTAGGGACTGACGAATACCTGCTGTCCGCTGGCAACTGGATCCTAAGCTTACATCCGAGGCGTTGAGAAAGTCAATTGGTGATTCCAGTCTGCAGACTAACATCCCTTGCCGAGCGCCAAAATCCGCCTTCATCACCAAGGTACTTTCGGACCAGACATCTCAAATCAACAAATATGAAAGCCAACGCAATGGCTGTTGCCAGGACCGCTGCCTTGCGAGGCCTTGGACGAACGCCTCTCTCTTCACAATTCACCCATAAGCAGCTCCCGGTTGTATCCCGAGCATGCATGTCCTCCGTCGCGGAAGCTGTCGGCGTGGCACCCGCTCCCCCGCCTCCTACACCGGTCAACGATGCCGAGCTGAAGGCCGCACAGCGTGCCATTGAGGCCAAGAAGATTCTGCAAAAGGCCGCCAGCGCAACCACTGTTAGACATGACTGGACAAGAGAGGAGATCTCTGCCATCTACTACCAACCCCTGATGGAGTTGGCTTTCCAAGCTGTACGTTTCTCGAGACCATCATCGTCATCTCGTGAATTGCTAACGAAATATCATTCACCAGGGCTCCATCCACCGCCGCTTCCACAACCCTTCCGAAGTCCAGCTCTGCACGCTCATGAACATCAAGACCGGCGGCTGCACCGAGGACTGCTCCTACTGCGCCCAGTCAACCCGATACCAAGATGGCACCGGCCTCAAGGCTAAGAAGGTCGAGAGCGTCGAGTCTGTCCTCGCCGCGGCCCGCACTGCAAAGGAGAACGGTAGCACGCGCTTTTGCATGGGCGCCGCATGGCGCGATATGCGCGGCCGCAAGAACAGCTTAAAGAACATCAAGGCCATGGTCACGGGTGTGAGGGCAATGGATATGGAGGTCTGCGTCACCCTCGGCATGATTGACTCGGAACAGGCCAAGGAGCTCAAGGAGGCCGGACTGACTGCCTACAACCACAACGTCGACACCAGCCGCGAGTTCTACCCGTCCGTCATCTCGACTCGCAGCTACGACGAGCGCCTTAAGACCCTGAGCCACGTCCGCGACGCCGGTATCAACGTGTGTTCGGGTGGCATTCTCGGACTCGGAGAGTCATCCGACGACCGCGTTGGTCTGCTGCACACCGTCTCCACGCTCCCTTCCCACCCCGAGAGTTTCCCCGTCAACGCTCTTGTACCGATCAAGGGTACGCCGCTGGGTGACCGCACGCCCATCCAGTTCTCGAGCATGCTGCGGACCATTGCGACCGCCCGCCTTCTTATGCCGGCGACCATTATCCGTATTGCTGCCGGAAGGAAGACCATGTCGGAGGAGAAGCAGGCCATGTGCTTCATGGCTGGAGCCAACGCTATCTTCACAGGCGAAAAGATGTTGACGACGGACTGCAACAGCTGGGACGAGGATAATGCCATGTTTGGCCGCTGGGGTCTGACACCGATGAAGAGCCACCACAAGTCGCCGGCTCCAATGGCCGAGATTGAGATCTGAAGATAAAAGCAACAAGAATAAAGATTTTACACCATCATGGACTTGATGTGGGGGATTTTGAAACCCGTTCCTCAGGACTCAAGGACCTTTGACGAGATGTCCATACTCTCTAGCTAATTGCTCCATGACTCATTACCCCCTTTCCGTCGTTCGACTCAAAAGCTTCCGTATGCGCGTTCTTCCCACCTAGAACTCGGTCTTGAAGAGTTTCATTTGCCTGATGACCTGACCGTATCTGTAGAATACTAAAGGGATTGGAATCATGACGAAAGCAATGAAGCCGAGGAGTGAGTTTCCCCATCCGAGCCCAAGGCTCTGATACAACCGGTCACCAGCCAGGGGCAAGAATGCGCCCAACAATGACCTGGTGACTGTGCTGGCTGCCATGGCTGATGCAGCGTATGCCGTAAATGCGTCAACCAGATAAGTCGAGATCGACATCTTCAAGACACACACGTCAGTACCGATGACACAGTTGCATAGGTAGGTGCGGGCTCTTACCAGGACTATAACAATCCCGCATCCTAGGATGGCTGTTCCTATGATAGGTAGCATCCATTGAAGCTGTTTATCTGCAGTCCAACCATACCAAAACAATCCTATGGGGACTAGGATAGCACCCATAAGCATGGGCGGCAGTCGATATTCCGGCTGAAACTGCCCGCCATTTGTGAGTGACAACTTCAGCACAAGCCTGTCTGACACTAGACCAGAGAATAGAAGTCCGATCACTGAGCCTACACCGATGCCGATGTACGCCAACCCCGCTGACCCTTGAGAGAATCCGTACTGCTGCTTGAAAACCTGGGGGAAGGTTGTGAAAAGCAGGTAGAGGTAGCCGTAGAGGATGGCCATATAAACTGAAAGGCAGAAGACAATGGGCGAGAGAAACATCATCTTCGCCGGTCGAAGAATGGAGAACATGAAGAGGTCTTTTGGCTTACGGTGGGTTGCTAGAACAGATTCGAGGTGTGGGTTTCTGGTCTGCACGCGAAGTCGTCGTGCCTTTCGTTCCAGAAGGGTCAGGGCGTATGATTCGGGCATGCAGAATGCTGTGCCGAGGGCAGCTACTCCAGCCTTCAAAGTCATGTTAGCTGCGATTAAAGAACACAAAGCGGCTATGCCCAAAGTATCAACTCACAGCAACAGACACCACTCGAAAAGACCATCGCCAGCCTATCGTTTCTGATAAATAGCCTCCTGCAATGGGCCCAATGGTTGGGCCCACCATCGGCCCAAGAGTCCAGACCATCATGGCAAGTCCTCTCTTTTCTCTCGGAACTGTGTCTGCCAGCGACGCAGCCCCAAGAGTCAACGGGGTAGATCCGCCTATGCCAGCAAAGATGCGAAACGCAATCATGCTACCCGAGTTGGGTGCCACGGAGCATGCAACGTTGAAAATGAGAAATAGGAGACTACCAGCGTTGTATAGAACATAACGACCGTACATCTCTGAAAGCGGTGCGATGATCAACGGGCCACAGCAGTAGCCGATCAGAAATCCCGATATCATGAACGCCCCAACGTATGTGTCTGTGACGTTGAAATCTGACTTGATGGAAGCAATTCCCGGTGCCGCGATCGATGATGCTAGGGGGCTGCAATAACAATTTGTGTCAGTATTGATGCAGTCTTGTTGTGTGATTCTGCTTTCTTAGGTTGAAAAATGAGCCATACCTGAGTGTTGAGATGTACCCAAGCGTCGTGATGAATAGAGCCTTCTTGCACTTTGACCAGTTCATCGGATTTTCTGGATCGTCTGGTCCATCCCAGTCAACCAAGTAAGAATTCACCATTGCAGTATCGCTGTCGTCTATGGCGTCACTGTGAACCATGATGGTGCCCTGTCCGGGCGGAATCATCTGTTCGCCCATAGTTGCTTTCTTAGACTCATGTGTATCAGACTCACGAACGAATGGGGGAACCTATCCGATTTTCGAAAGAATCGAGATACGACCTGATCTCCCTAACTGACTTAACATAACGTTACGAATTTGGCTGACGGCGTTCTCGGCTCGTCCTTGAGGCCTGGTTGTGCCGAAGCACATCGTCGGAGTCTCGGACCTTTTAAAGATTTCCGGAGTGACGCCGGCTTTAGAGTGAAGAGCTCGGTTGTGGTGATGTCCGTTCGCCGAATCCCACCCCTTAAGCATATTCGCTTCTTTGATTGCGGGGATAATTCAAATGCCGTATTCCCCATACTGAGACTCCAATCGGATGATGGATGTTGGAAACTGGTGACTAGTTGTCCGTGCCGTTGCCGCTGTGGATACTAGCGGAACGTTATACCAAGTATAAAATGACTGTCTTGAAAGTCGAGCAGAAGATGCTGGCCATCTTTGATATCAGGCACATTATTGTTCATTATCCAAACCTAAATCACCTTATCCCAACTTCAAAGGTGTCACCATGTCGATCAAGCTTGAGAAGGTCCCTCCCCACCGTTTGTCGGAGCTATGCGATCCTACATCTTTGAAACTTAAGAAGCTGCTGAATCGAAATCACAATGAGCACGCCATTCTTCGCGACCCTCGACTAATCCTACACAACCATATGCCGCATGTGAGTATTCCTCGTGCGTGATGCTCGGCCACTATTCACTCATGTCTCGGTACTTAATCATTGGGGCGGAGGCTGATATAACCACGTCACATATGACAGGCTCTTGGATCGTCTTATCTTCTAGGCGCGACAGACTCCCAGTTACAGCATATTTTCGACGTCGAATCCCCTCATCTGGTCGAATCTGACGACAAACGAATCACGCATGAAGAGGTCACCACATTCAACTGGAGGAAGTTTCTTGGGCAGAAGCCATACACTGCGGCCTATGCCATATTCTTTGACGGTGAAGTTGCGAAATACGGCGGCGACTGGAAAAAGGTTGTAGAAGACTATGTCTGGGCTGGACCTGAACCGATTATCAACGGATTCTCTGGAGGGCGTAAGTCTTCCGTTCTCTAGGCTGTGTCTCATCACGCCCGGTGATACATCTGGTTTTAACTAACTTTTCATCATCGCAGTCGGTCACCCTTTCATTCATCTTGCATACGCATACGAGTTTGATGACGAAAAGGTCGCCACGGAAGCCTTGAGTATGGGTTGCACGGAGTACGATCCGACTCACGAGATTCTGGATAACCCTCCACCAGACACGTCAACTTACAAGACCAAAAGCATCAAGGAAGTATTGGGTCGTATCCGTGCCGACAAGAGATTCGATGGCTACGTCGATTCCCCGGGGTTCGTGAATCTCTTCACACTCCTCGGCAGATTCAGATCTGAAGTTTTCGAACACTGGCACGCGTGGGTCGTCGAGGATCCAGACTCACAGCTCGGGGACTGCGCCAAGATGGCAGCGGGGCTGTTCATGGAAACGCGCAATAATGAGGAGGGCATGTTCGATTTCTTCGTGGCTCACATTTTGACTTTTGCACATGCTTTACGCATTCTTCTGCCGCTCTGGTCGCATGAGCAGAAGGTTTCGGTGATGAGACAATACGGCCTCTATACGATGATGGTGTACATCGCACAGCTTCGACCGGGCCTCGACTGGGATGAAGAAGGGTTGTCAAAGGGTGGCGAGACACCTGCGTGGGGCACAATTTTCAAGAACTCATTGAACAGCAAGTGGATGACTGACGTGCACTTCCCGAAGGTCGTCAGAGGTATGAAGGTGGTTGAAGAGACTTGGGGGGCTTCAGGCGGACTGTATCAACGAGCAGCCGACGTGTTTGTGAATGAGTTTAACGGATGGGGAGGATATGGGGTCGGTGTCGAGGCTGCCTTTGGGCTTACTGGTGTTGCTTAGCTGTGTTTTCCCCCCAGGCTCTGCGTCCTTTGGTCGGCAGTTGAGCAAGCAAGTCGTAGCGAGTGGTCAAATAACAATGGGAGTGTGAGCAGTATTGCGGTAGTAAGACTGAGTGTCTCAAGTGAGAGGTGAGTGAGTGAAGTGAAGTGAAGTGAAGTGAGAGAAGTGAGATGAACGATTGAGGAAGAGTGAGATGAGGTAAGCTCAATCAACATGAGGAGGTGCGCCCGTTGAAGTTTAATTTCAAGTGAGCAAGCCCGACTGCCGGACCTTGTCCCTCTCTGTCTCTTAGCATTGCACCGCCCGTCTCGAATAGCGCGAAACAAGGCACATCAATCAACAATGTACGTACTTGGTTTAGGGGACCAGGTGCGTCAAGCGCGCAGTCGAGTGCCGTCATCTGACGCTGACGCTGTCGCTGTCGCTGTCGCTCTCGACGTCCTCTTGGCACATCAACAACGATCACGACCATCCTGTTCCTAATGCATCCTGTGTACATCGACATATTTCCATCGACAACTTCTCCAAGTCTCTAGCAATCCTCGCATGAGTTCCATCAGCGACCTCGAGCGGTGGCTCGCACGCTTCTCGGGTCGCTTGCGTCGCTATTTACCACCTCTAAACTTCATCACCATTCATTATGCCTACTTCTTCCTCGTCTGTCTCATCACGTCTATCATCTTCTGGGGCTCATCCGATCCTGCGTTCTCGGTCAGCTACACCGATAGCCTCTTCCTTGTCGTGTCTGCCATGACCGAGGCAGGCCTCAATACCGTCAACCTCAGCCAACTGACGGCCTGGCAACAAACACTCCTGTTTCTCCTACTGCTCTTGGGCAGTACCATTTGGGTCTCCATCTGGACGGTCTTGGCCCGCAAACATGTATTCGAGAAGCGTTTCGATGAAATAGTCCGAGCAGAGCGCGCGCGTAAACTCAGTCGTCAGGGCAGTACCATATCGCTAGGTTTGCCGCGATTACCTCTCGACTTGCCCAGGCTGCAGATGGCATTCTCCTTCGGTAAATCGCAGTCAGCACCGCATCCTGCAGGCCAGTCTCTCAGAGCTACAAAGACTGCCGAGTCGGAGAAGGGCGAAACTCGGCCAGACGACAAACGAGCGGACGATGCAGAAGCCTCGCCCAAAGACCGCCACCGGCCTACACTCGAGGATGCACCTGAGAATATGCCCGGAAGCACCCAGGAGGTGACGGACTCGCAGGCACCGGGCCACATTACCTTTGACGATGCACCGCACCCCAATGTCGCCGACAACCAAGCCACCTCGACGGGAGTCTCTCTTCCTGGCAACCCGAATGGACCGGCGCGTCCACTGAGAAGGCCCTACAATGCTTCAGTAGATCTGACTACTGCCGACGCGGACGCTCGCAACTTCTTGAAACATCGTGCAGCTAGTCGCCACGGTCAGTTCCATGACCTAAGCAGCGATGAACGCGATCATCTCGGCGGCTGCGAATACCGTGCCCTCAAGGTCCTAGCCATGTTGGTGCCAACCTACTTCTTCCTGTGGCAGGTTCTGGCATCCCTTGCCCTTGGAGCCTGGATGAACAACTACATGCCCGATACGGCAAGGGCTAACGGTATCAATTCGTGGTGGCTCGGTATCTTCAACGCCGTTTCTGCCTTCAATAATTCGGGCATGTCGCTCCTGGACGCCAACATGATTCCTTTCCAACAGGCGCCGTACGTTCTCATCACAATGGGTCTCCTGATACTGGCAGGCAATACCGCGTACCCTCTCTTCCTTCGTCTCATCATCTGGTCCTCTCTCCGCATCTTGAACCTGACCACGCGAGAAGACGCTTTTACCGACCTAAAAGAAACCCTAGCGTTTATTTTGAAATACCCTCGCCGAGTTTACACCAATCTCTTCCCTTCTCGACCCTCTTGGTGGCTTTTATTTATGTTGATTTCACTTAACTCTGTGGACTGGGTGGCCTTTGAGGTTCTCAACATTGGGAATTCTGTCATCGAGAAGATACCCACAGGCTACCGGGTGCTCAATGGTCTCTTTCAAGCACTTGGTAAGCCTTCAAATCGTTCTTCCTTTGGATCATCACCATGTCAAGCAGGAGGAGGCTAATATACCGGTTAGCTGTGCGGTCCGGAGGTTTCTACGTTGTCCCTATCTCAGGCCTCTTCATCGGCTTACAGCTACTCTACGTTATAATGATGTACATCTCGGTCTACCCCGTCGTCATCACCATGCGCCATTCCAACATTTACGAGGAGCGATCACTCGGCATATACAGCGACGACATAGGCACCGCATCCGAGATCGACCCTGAGGTGGCCGATCCCTTGCTCCCTATAGGCAGTCGACCTCCGACACTGGCACGCACTACTAGCATTGGCGCGGCTTCTGCCCGACCTTCTGTCTTGGCACGTCGACTGAGCCGTTCGGGCCCGGTCATCGAAGCTCGTCGCGCGTTCAAGAGCACCTTCATGAGCTTTCACGGTGTTGGTGTTGTGCCACCGAAAGGACCGGGACTTGGGCAGAGCGCCGCCGAGCAGGGCGAGAGTCGCGTCAGTTTCATCAGCCACCAGATTCGCGGACAGCTTGCCCATGATCTTTGGTGGTTGGTTCTCGCTGTTTTGATCATCACCATCATCGAGACGTCAAAATTCATCCAAGATCCCGTGACGTTTTCGGTCTTTAACATCATATTCGAGGTCGTCTCAGCATACGGTACGGTCGGAATATCAGTCGGCATACCAACTGACGCGTACAGCTTCTGCGGCGCCTGGCACGTCGGAAGCAAGCTCGTTCTGTGCCTGGTGATGTTACGTGGCAGGCATCGAGGGCTGCCAGTTGCGCTGGACCACGCGGTGCGACTTCCAGGACGGCAGCTCCATCGGTATGAAGAGGAGGACCATCAGATACGGAGGAGCAGGACAATCGAGCTGGAACGGTAGAATTACATGTAGATTGCCTCAAGGCACGGTTATTAGACATGTTGGAAAGAATCATTCCATTGCTAATAGCTGAAAGATTGATGCTGTCTACACGTAAAAGTGCTCTGATTGGGATCTATAATGTTAACGCTAAGTGAAGATGCAGTATAAAATGACAGACTGATCAGGAATACGAAAACTCGCTTCAAGTAATGCGACCACCGAAGAACATACGATGCGATGATTCAAACATAGACCGAATGCGCCAACCACTCTAACGCACTGGGTGAGATGCGATGTAATGCAATGCGATGATAGGGAACAAGAGACGTGAACACCGAATAAATAGAAAAAGCAAAGTGGCAGAGATTGAGAGGAAAGATATTTTAACGTCATCTCGAAGTTGCCACGGTGATTTGAAGTTTGGCCTATTCTATCATGCGGGCAAAGAAACGCTGCGAGGGAAGAATCGGTCGTACGTCGATTTTCCGAGCTTGGCGATGGGCACGCTTATACCGTGAATCACCTACACAACGTTAGTATATGGACTCCAAAAAGATATTCAGCTGTCGAGAACTCTCGAAAAGTAGTGTCACTCACAATGCTGCAGATGATCAAGAACCAGATGGTGACAAGCATGGTTTCGCCCAGCTGCTTCGCGTCCGCTCGCTGGCCCTCGTCATCCGTCAGAGTCTCCAGGAACTCGAGGCCGACGTAAAGATAAAAGATGGCAGAAACACCAATGGGACCAAAGTACCCAACAAAGAGCGCCTGTCGTGAACCCCGGATCTGGCGGATGTACCGGTGCAAGCCGAGTATGACGGGAAGACGCCTCAGCAGTAAGACAAGAATACCGAGTGCGACCAAACGACCGGGACTAATCAGCTCAGAGTTCCAGAAGCTCTCCCACGGACACACAGCTCCCAGCCACATGAAGATGGCCATGTTGAGCATCATGTCGACGGCGGGCTGCACGGGATCCTCGACCGTCTCCAGACGGAACCAGTCGTTCCAGGTGAAGACGTTGCCCGCGATGAAGCACGCTAGTACGTCGTCGCTGCCGACCATACCGCACGTGCCGAGGATGAAGATGGCCATGCCGATGGGGAAGAGGAGAAAGCATTCCCGCTCCACGTACTTGCGTCGCTCGGCCCAGTGGAGCAATCTCTGCGCGAGCAGGCCGACGACCCAGCCATAGAAGACGCTCATGAGCACGACGTAGACGCACGTCTGGCCGAAGAAGAGGCTCAGCGCGGCACCGAAACCGCCCTCGCTCGAGGCTGGGTTACCGTCGCTCTCGGTGTACTTGATGAGGTAGAGCGCGAGGAAGAGAAAGGGGTAACCAAGGCCATCATTCGCTCCCGACTCGGCAACGATGATCTGCTGCAGGTCCTCGGGGACGTTCTCCTCGGCAAACCGGCCCTTGACAATCGTGGTGGAGAGAACCGGGTCGGTCGGGGTGATGCAGGCCGCGATGGCGAGAGCGTGGACGAGGGGCAGGTCCGGGACGAGGAGCCAGACGATGGCACTGGTGCAGGTCCACATGCCGATCATGCCGGGGCCGAGGAGGAGGCAGAGGGACTTCCACTCTGTGCGAAGGTAGCGGCTCGGCAGCTGGACGCCGGCGAGAACGAGCTGGACGCCGAGGACCAGGCGGCTGAAGTCGAGGGTCACGGAGGCGACGGCATCTTCGGAGACGGCGTATTCGCCGGGCTTGAGGAGCTTGGCGACGTGGGTGAAGGTTACGCCTCCGAGGAGGGAGACGACTTTTAGCAGTAGGGTTGGTTAGCCAGTGCGATTTGCCTTGTTGCAGCTGTGCCTAAACAGAGGCAGAAGAAGCAGAAGAAGAAAAAACCACAGGTAAGGGAAAGCTATGGTTCACTTACGGGCTTCAGAGAGATACAGGTTCTCTTTGATGAGATACGAAAAGGTGCCGAATAAGACGAGCCATCCGCCGAGCACGCTAATCACCACGTTGAAATTCGTGATTGAAAGGTCCATGATGCCGCTCAATGTGCTGCAAGCAAGCAGCCCCGACTGGATGCCTCGCCTTTGGGTCTCGACGCCTTGGGGTGAAGAAGGGGTTGAGTATGCTTCGGCTGCGACATGAAATGGAAATGCCTCACGTTACGGGACCTGGCGGGATGCCGCTGCGATTACCAACTCGAGCTCGACGACGGAAATGCGCCCTGAACCAACTACACCAATACTCACAAAAGTAAGAAGGAGAGCATACGACAAGGGCAAATTGACTTGGATGTATGAAGAATCAAAATTGGAAATGTAGACCCGTTTGAAAAGACATTCACGGCTATCGGATCGGATATCAATACTCGTTCATCACGTTAGATCGGGCAGCCGTTGTTTTCTCCCGCGAGCGCCCGCAAGACAGGACGAAGGAGGCCACCGATGGGAGCCCGCTCATCTATTTCGTTACTAGTCCCGATCTTCTGCTCTCATTTTACCACCTTACCTGTCACAGACTCACCCATCAGGTAGGATGAGGCATTTCAAGGCCACGGAGGCTTAGCCTTTAGCCCATGTCGGTAGCGCCCGCTAAAGCCAAGTCATCCTGACCCCCTTCTCGCAAACATGTGCCACTGGCCATCCATGATCAGGCCTGTTCGTGGTCCCCTACATTTTCAAGGGCTCATGCAGGGTTCTCTCGACTTTCAGAGCTACCGCGAAGAGCGCCTGACCGTCTTTTCTGACAATCCCATCTCGAATCTGCTTGAGACGGCCGCGGCTATTTGAGACTGCGGGGCAGAGTCATGCGCTCCATGTGCCGCCAGTATCTTGTTTTCCTGGATCTACCGATGCCTTTGAGACCTTGTTCTCGTACACTCAAGCGCTGTAAGCCAGTGCCGTCATTGCCGTTGAAAAACTCCAGCAGCGAACTACCCCGGCCTCTCTCTCCGCATTCCCCGCTGCAAGATTCAATCCGAACCACTGGTGAACGTCTTAAGCAGTAGACGGATACCTTGGTTCAGCAAGACATAGTATCATGTCTCGAAATTCCGAGAGCTCATCGACTCACAACGGAACTGGTAGAACAAATGATGTTCTGCAGGCTTGTAGTGTTGAACACTGCCGGCATAGTGCTTACCCACGAGTGAGCTCAGTAAGCTCATCTGAGAAGCCTTTAACCAGTCGCAACGAGGAAATCAACAATTCACTGCGCGAGAAACAGTTTTGCCTCGCAACCTCATCGTATGATCCAAGTTATAAACATTAATCATGGAGGGCCGCCCGCCTTTGAACGCCAACCAACGCTGTGCAAGACTTTAGACTGCCGCATTCTCATTTCATACAGCTCTCATCGCGCTTCATTTATGTACGTGAGGAGGGGTCGACTTCTCATTCAGTTTCATTGAACCATATATTCCATTGTGGCAAACGACGACCACATGATAACAGTTGGTAGCAGGATCTCGTCAAACTTCGCTGATTAAAAGAATTTCTTCAAACGTCATTGCTTTCGAAACCAAGCCTACATGACAGTAGTCTAACATGTCTACTCACTTTAGTATGTAGTTTCAGTCGGTTTGCATTCATTGAACATTACCAATATTCAGAAGTGAAGTTTCTCTCTCGAAAACAGCCTTCAACATCTTGGCAGAGCAGATGCAGGTGCTGCTGAAACCCAGATCTTACACCCTGTGACCCTTCATATTGCAGTATGAAGAAGACAACACCAAGGACGACTCATTTTCCAGAGACCATGACTAACAATATTGCAGGCCGACTATCGGAGGATGTTTGATAAGTACGCCGAAGATGAGATGCATCGGCGGCGAAACGTCTCTCACATACCACTCCACCACAGATCTTGATGAGACGAGGTCTGACGCCCACTGGCAGCGGCTCGAATTTGACGACAGAGCGCACTGGTAGGATTGCGGGGACTTACAACGGCCCGAAGATCAACAGCACGATTGATTTCACACTCGAAAGATATCGTTGGGAAATGTGAGCTTTGGTATAAGATTTGGGCGGAGACCCTGAAAAGACGCGCTCTTCGCACGAGCCTTTCATCTTTTCTCATTGGTTTATTGTTTGTTGATAACTCATATCACGAATCTCATTCTAACTCAAGCGCTATCAGATAGCTACCAAAGCCATCAATCATGGGTTCGATGGGAGAATATTCTGTGCCACAGGAGGCGGAGGCGGTGTTCCAACACGGCATTCTGAACAATCCCTTAATGAAGGACCTTCCCGGCGACCTCAAATCTCTCAGTCAACATGTCAAGTTTGAGGGTTCAAGCAAGCCAAGCGTTCCGATCAATTGGCGATTTGCCGAAAGCATCTCGGCTTTGAAAGCATTGGAGGCAACCATGCTCAACCGGCTAATTCTCAAGAAGTACAACAAGGAGCCGACGGATGTCACCATTAACACGTAAGCCATTTCATTTTAGTGATCTAAGTCTGCCTTGATCCAGTAGAAGGCCCTTGCGGAGGGAACTCACACAGTCTCTAGTGACCATGCAAGCTTGTTCTACTTTTCGCCTCTCCTTGCCCAGCTCATCGGTAAGGACGGCAAGTTTACGCCCATGGCGCTTATGAACTTTGTGCCCGAGGCCATGAAGATGTTCCCAGAAACGGACAAGCACAGGACCGCCGCCAGCTTGCATCGAGCTTTGGTGACAAACATCCATAAGACAAAGGATGGACGGTATTACCAGCTTCACGGTGAGATACTCCTTCGCTGAACGAACTCAACCATAGGTCCTTTGGGCTCTCGCATCTGACGGAATTTTGTAGGCGGCATAAACCCCGACCCCATCCTCAAAGCTCTGGGCTTGCCTGAAAATGGCCCAGCGGATGACACTTACGAATCGGTCTTCGAGAGAACCCAAAATGTCATCGCCGAGATGGACTCCAAAGACCTGGACGCTTTACTCAACGACAAAGCGCAACAGTCTGGCACAATCGCTTGGTCGTCTGACGAATACTTTGCAAGCGAGCACGGCAAAGCAAACAGCAACGTCGGACTCTACGAGATCGCAAAAGTCCAAGGCTCCATACAGCCCGCATCTTGGTGGCCCCTAAACTCGAGCCTACCCTCGTCGGCCAAAAGACCCCTCGCCGGCCTCAAAATCGTGGATCTGACCCGAATTATCGCTGCCCCGGTCATTTCGCGCGATCTGGCGGAGATGGGCGCGAGCGTCATGCGCGTCACCTCAGATAAGATCACGGACATGTCTTCTCTGCACCAGGATCTCAACTGGGGCAAGTGGAATTGCCACTTGGATCTCACCAAGGACGAAGACAAGGAGAAGCTGAGGGCGTTGATCAGGGATGCTGATGTCGTTGTTGATGGGTACCGCCCTGGCGCCATGGAGAAGCACGGTTTCGGTCGCAAGGAGATTCTGGAGCTGGTGAAGGATCGCCAGCGAGGAATCATTCACGTCCGTGAGAATTGTTACGGATGGCATGGACCCTGGCAGGGGCGCGGTGGATGGCAGCAAATTAGTGACGCCGTGAGTGACATACTGCACAGGATCACTTTTGGAGACTCTACTGACAAGTAATCAAGTGCTGTGGTGTCTCGTTAGAGTATGGAAAGGCAATGGGTCTCGATGAGGCGGTTACTCCGGTGTTCCCGAACTCAGACTACTGGTATGTCAAGCACAGAAGAAATAATCCACTGATCTGGGATTATTAGAAAGATACTAAAATGCGAGATAGTGCTGGAGTTTGCGGAAGCACTGCTGTTCTTGATGCTCTCATGAAGCGCGCCGAAGACGGAGGAAGCTATGGCGTCGACGTAAGTCTCGATCTACCGAGGAAAATAATTCAACTTCAAGATGCTTTCCAGCTAACCCCATGTACACAAACAGGTCGCCCTCAACTACTATTCCCAATGGCTCGTCCGTTCATGCGGGACATATCCTGAACCTATCTGGAGAGAAGTCTGGGAGCGTCATGGATCACCCGTATTCCGGCACTTCCACACAATGGCCCACAATGTCCCGGTCATGTCCAAGCTGCTTCAGGAGTACGACGCGCAGGTTCTCTTCAACCCTCAGTTCTTTGAGATGCGAGTGTCAAAAGCGGTTGATGGAACTTTCTGGGTTGTCAAGCCTGTTCTGCAGTATGGCAACAACGCGGTTGAAATGAGGTACAATGTAGGCACGAGAGGTAATGGTGTTGACCAGCCTGTCTGGCCAGAGGATTTGTCTACGGAAGTGGTTGGAAAGTAAGTTTCTGATAGAACTGACCTATGCATTGGGCATTACGAATACAGCAACTATCGAGCCAACAGAACCAACGTTTCTTGCTAGGTATTAAATCATTGTAGGCACCTTGAAACATGTTCAACAACCTTCTAAGTATCTTCATAACCAAAATCGTTAGCTCTCAGTCTGATGCCTCTCGTAATCTAGCTTGGTTCACAGCTTCGGCAAGCTCTGCGGGCTTCACTCCAGCCGGATCTCGTAATTGTGTAAATGAATCCCCATCCTTTGGCCCAAGAACTCCAGCATCCTTCACAAAGCCACGGTGTGAATCAAAGAAGAAGATAGTCGCATGCAAAGCATCTGGTGCAACTTCTGAGACGTGGAACTCGGCGGCCGGAACTGTGTACGTTGACCCCCTAGCATGAGTCTCTGAATGAATCTTTCCAGCTCGGAAGAGCTTCCCCGTGTTCTGCACAGTAGAAGATGCCTGATGTGTCTTGTACGCAGTATCCGCCCCCTTGCCATCGTTCCACGCAAGTGCATACCCTGCGTGCGTGGCTTCTTCTGGCTCCTCGACAGGATCAACTTGATAGGAGTGATCCACGCCCTGCCCTGCCAAGATCCAGCTCTGCGCAAACGGCTGGTGAGAGTGTAAGTGAAAATCGGGGTTCCCGCGCTTGCCGTCCGGCATCCAGACGTGCAGGCGAATGAGCTCGTCGATGCTGCCGTCCTTGACCAAGCTGCACAATGGGACCGAGAGAAAGCCTTGTGCGCTGCGAGAAGCGGTGAACCGTGTTCGGGAAGAAGATGTTGATGTGAGGGCGCCGCGGATGATGGTCCAGCATTGGCTGATGTCGTCTGCTGTTGCGGGCTGGTTTTGGCGTGCTGTTTCGCGGAGGAATGACACTGCCACTGCGACGAGTGCAATATGGACGGCTGCCCCGGCCATTTTTGTGACATTTTGCTGGATGATGACTTGCCAGTCCTGAAAAGATAGACTGGACGATTTGGTCTTGGTCTCACTGCCTTCGTTGCCTGGAGACAGCAGCTGTTTGATTGTGTCAATTTCATCAGAAGCAGCCTTAGTAGCCTGTGCGACCCCTGTCAACGATCTGAAGACTGTCTCATATGAAATATCCATTTTGTCTGGTTGATGAATGGCCCTGCTGATGCAACTCTTGGTTCCTACTTTTATCTGAATGATGCTGAACGAGGGAAATACAGCGATGCGCGATTGAAGCCATTTAACTCTTATCAGTTGGAAACATCAAGCTCTATATAGAAGTCAATTTGATAGATGAAGTACGGCTATCCGCAAGGCACATTGCATGCTGAATATTGATCCTTTTGACGAATCACAAGCAACACGGTGGTGACACACCGTCAGCACAGCCCCGACGCATCCAGGCAACACCGGGCTGCGAAGTGGAAAATGTGGAATAATGTGCGAAAAGAAAAGCCATGTTCATATTATATGGATATCTCTAATACTACAATTCGAAAAACCTTCAGTGCCTCGCACCCTCGCCGTTGACAACCTTGTCAACATTACGATGAGTGCCTCTAATGGGCGCACCGTTGTTCTCCGTCAGACTCTGGCAGGTCGTGACGTCAATGCCATTGGCGTACTTGTTCTTCTTCTCCCTTGCAAAGCCGTTGTGTGTACCGTTGAAAGTCAGATTAGCAATGCCATCGTATCCCTTGATACCGGTGCTCTTCTCCAGGCGCTCAGCAATCTCAGGATCGACCTCCCTGAAGATGGCAATCTGCTTCTTCAAAGGCTCCGGGTTCTTGCACAGCTCCATCTTGCCCGTGACGTTGTTGATGAAGCGCTCACGTGCGTCCTCGTCCCAGACCTTCTGCCACAGGGCGCGCGGCGCAACAAAGTCCTCTGGTCTGATCTCGGAGAGGAAGGTGATGGCCTGGCCGGTAAAGTGACCATGCGTCTTGTCCAGGTCCACGGTACGGGCCTTGAACTGAACGGGATCGATGGAGCTGAGGTAGTTGGGGCGCGCACCCTGGTTGAAGAACGCCATGGCACCATCACGCTGGAAGTTGGCCATCTTGTGGGCGGTCTTTGGTGCGTTGACGGGGAGTTGCTGGTAGTTGACGCCAATACGGTGACGGTGGGTATCAGGGTAGGAGAACAGACGGGACTGAAGGACCGGGTCGGCGGAGGGCTCGATGCCGGGGGGCATGTGCGAGGGGTTGAAAGCAACCTGCTCGACCTCGGCGAAGTAGTTCTGAGGGTTCTCGTTCAGGGTGAACTCGCCCACCTTGCGGAGGGGGTATTTGCCCTGAGGCCACACGTGCGTGAGATCAAAGACGTTGATCTTGTCATTCTCCCATGCATCCTCTGCCTCCTTGGGTGTCATGGTCTGAATCTCAACTGACCACTTGGGGTAGTCGCCGTTCTGGATGGCCTCAAAGAGGTCCTTGCCGGAGTAGTCGGCTGACTTGGTGAGAGAGTCCTCTTGGGTGATGAATTTGGTGCCCTGCTGGGACTTCATGTGAATCTGGGCGTAAACCCATGATCCGTCCTTGTTGACGAGCTTCATCGTGTGACCAGCGTACCCGTGCATGAAACGGTAGCCATCAGGAATGCCACGGTCACCCATCAAGATCATGACTTGGTGAATTGACTCGGGGTTCTCGCTCAAGTAGTTCCAGAACTAAGGATGCTTTTTAGCAGGATTCACATGTGTACGATCATAAGGATTAAACATACCATGAACGAGTCATCCATGTGGTTGAGATGGGTCTGAGGATCACGCTTCTGTGTGTGAATGAACATTGGGAACTTGGCAGGGTCTCGCAAGAAGAAAACGGGCGTGTTGTTCGCCACCATGTCCCAGTTGCCATCCTCTGTTCTGAATTTGACGGAGAATCCTCTGGGGTCGCGAGCAAGATCCGGCGAACCAGACTCGCCGCCAACAGTCGAGAAGCGCACGGTGATAGGGCACTTCTTGCCCTTGGTACCGAAGAGATCGGCCTGCGTAAGCTCGGGGATCGGATTCGTACACTCGAAGAAGCCATGAGCACCGCTGCCCTTGGCATGCACGACACGCTCCGGAATGCGCTCGCGGTCGAAGTGAGAAAGAAGGTCGATCAAGTGGAAATCCTGCAGCAACAACGGACCGTTCTCACCGCATCGCTGTGTCTCGTAGGGGTGAGGCATCGGGACGCCATTGCTGGTGCTGTAGATAGCCTCCTTGGAAGTCATCTGTCTATCCTTCTCGTATGTGCTAAACTGGCCTGCCACATGGGCTGCGAATGATGTGTCGGTGGAACCCATATTGAATGTCTTTTGGGCAGTTTCAATGGGATGTTTGATGATTCTTTGAACAGTCTCCATGAGATTAAGAAGGTGTTGAGAGAGGTCTTATACCAGAGAGAGATATGGTGAGCTGTGCCGCCACCCGCCGGCGCTTGGGCACTTTATGTGGAGGGGCTCGAACGGGCATACACACAGAAAAGTTGCCATCAAAACTCAATGCCATGACGCAGCGTTGTAGGAACAATACCGTCACTCATGTTGGACGAATCACAAACTGCAGATTACTACATCGAAGCAGTCTGAAGACGGGGAGTAGTGTTTGTCACTCCATGTCTGGTTGTAGCGGCATGGGGAACGATGGAACTAGGCCATACCCGCATTAGCACCCGCTCTCTAAGGAGCGGGTCACAGGAATCGATGACGCTTGGTACGGAGCCTCCTTGGCCTCTCGACTTTTCGATTTTTCATCGTTTCGCCTTTTTCGACTCTGGGCTACGGTCCTAATTCGGGGATAACTCCATGATAACGAAGACCAGGCAGTCGATGGATATCACGTCCAATGCTCCGATATCTTGGCGCTGAAGCCGATTGGCTTTTGGGAGTCTTCAAATGGGTATGGGAGTAATTCGAAGGAGCCACGGAAATTGAGATCAAAAGACAAGATGTGACGAAGACCAGAACTGCGGGGGCCAAAGGGCGCGGTAGACTAAGACGATTTAGACCATCAAGCAAATACCGGCACTTGTTTGAAGCAATCCAAGATGCAGCCGCTACCAAGACTCCGGAGATCTAGCTCCGGAGGAGGCCAGACGCCACTGCCAGATTCCCATCTTTCATTAATCGAAATCGTTCAAATCCGATATTTGGCGGTTAGCTCACAAGTGCCAGGTAGCAGTGTGCTAGGGGAATCCCAGATTCGGGGCCAAAGCACCGATCCGCATGAACTCAATCGATGATGTATGCGAACAGCCCGCTGATGTCATGAAGCAGAAGGCCGAGCCAAGACCGATGACAGGCGCTCCACCCCCGCCGTGACCTTGGCTGGCGAACGCAGAGCTAGGGCACTTTTTTGAAGGCTTTGGTGATGAAGCAAAAGGTCTAGAACGTGGTGAAGTCGGCGATGCGGCACGCGATGAATCTGAAGGTACCTTTTGTAGAAAAACCGTTGAATAATCACTTCAATCCTTTTGTCCGTTTTATGTACACCTGTCCCAGCGATACCTGAGTGTGAAATCCGCAATACCCACGCAATTAGACTCACCAACGATGATCTTCTACGGCGCATTCTTTGAAGTGCACCAACCATTCTAAATGCTAAATGACACCGCATATGACTTCAAATGAAGAAGACTTTTACGGGAGGAAACCCTTGATCCTAACTTTTCATCGGCCTTGGCGTGGAGTCGTAGACAAATCGAGCGAATGAGTTTCATTCTCACTCATACTTCATGACGACCGAGGAGTGATTTCTGCGAATTTTGGGCACTCAATCATGTCTCAATTTGATTCACTGATTTCTTCACTCGCCTCATCCTCGACCCGCGTACTGTTAACCGGGGGGTAATGAGCCAGTAGAAGAATGCCCACGGCGACAACGGCGAGAGCCTGTAACGCGATTAGAGAACAAGCATCAGGGATGTAAAGACTCATATGTGAGCACTCACGGCGTTCACAAAGAATGTGAGATTCGGCTTGCCCATCTCAGACAGCGTGGCAAATATGAAGCCGAAGATACCCTGCGTCGTAAGAGTCGCTGCACTCTCAACTAGGGTAATGGCGCTCAGGGCGTCTTGTCGCATATGCGGCGGGCACATTTCCGTGATGACGCCCTTTGCTGCAGGGGCCGATCCGGATGCGAATGGTAGCAGGAAAGCGGCTGCGAATGAACGAAATTAGCATCTTGCTCTAGCCTCTGGAGTTTGGGGTAAAGTGGGCAGCAAAATTGAGATACTCACCGGCATAGACATGCCAGCCCTCCGTCGCCCAAGCCGCGAGGGACGTGACGATGCCATCCACCACCAAGCTCCACCTCAGGAAGAACAGGTCAAAAGTGCTATCCTCGTCTTCCTCTTCAGGCGGCGCCTTTGTTGGCTCGGAAGCGTTCATCAAGCCGGGTGCCGGGTCCATGTCCTCGGGGTGAGTGGGGATGACGCTCCGTTCCTCCTGGGTGAGCGTCTTTTGAAGAGCTCCGGCATGGGATGACGAGGCAAACCATCTGCGTCCGCTGTCGATTATTTCCGGAAAGATGAACATCAAGAAGATGCCGCGGATCCACGAGTTGCCAGACATCAGGATACCGTTCTCCGTTGTGCCAAAGTTGAAGCGGGAGGTGGCGTACATCTGGATGAGGATGGGCGCATAACCCGTGGCGAACTGGGGCACTGTCAGCAATGTGTTCATGGATGAATGCCGCCGATTTCAATGACAGAGGTAGTAGACTAACCACGCCGAAGAAGATGCCCAGGGCCAGAAAGATGAGGCCATAGTTTTTCACAATCTTGCCAGATTCAAGACGGTACTTGGACGGCATGAGCACCTTGATAGGAGCCAGGAAGCCAGAAGCGCCGGGCGTTGTCTTGCCGTCCGTCTGCTCCGTCTCTTCTGGGGGTGCCGGCCAGAAGATGGCCCCGTAGGTCGTTGCAAAGGCAAAGCAGCCGATGGCAACGATGAAAGGACTGGTGATGCCGAACACATCACCCAAAACACCGCCGACTGATCACTCATTAGCAGGCGAGGGTAGGAAAGGTAGAATGTCGACCTACGCAAGTACCCTATGGCGGTACCGATCATGACTGCACCCTGCAGCCGACCAAACACGCCCGTATGCTTTCTTCTTTCGACAACCTCCGCAATTGCCGTGTTCAAAACCAGCCTTTAGTTACAATTGCATTAGCGACGCGGTCCCAGCGCATCTCACTTTCCTTGCTGTACCTAGGTAGGTAGGTAGGTAGGCAGGTAGGTGAAGTACTTACATGTATCCCCTCGGCCCACCAAAGATGCCAATAAGCTGCGTGTACTGCATCATGTCGATTCCCTTTTGCGCGCCCTGCGACACGGCGAGGACCTGGCACGAGACGCGGATGCCGAGCAGGCCGGTCTGGCTGATAAGGGCCCAACGGGTACCCCAACGCTTGATGAGGTCGCCGCAGATGAAGAGGTTAAGAATGCCGCACACGGAGGTGGTCATGCCGAGGATGGAGACCTGGGTGGCCGTGTTTGCGTCAATCTCACGGCGGTGACACATTTCCGAGGCGGGGCCGTCGTAGGGGACGTGAGACTTGTAAAAGGTTTCGCACGCCATTACACGGAAGACGTAGATAATGCTGTAGACTACATGTCAGTTTCCGTTACTGTGGTACACATCCTCGCAACCATGCCATAGTACAGCATGGGTGAGAGGAGAGGGGTGGACTTGTGCGCACGGAACTTGAGTGAGGCCTAGTGTCAGGGAGACGAGGAAGCCGGCGAACAGGATACGGTTTGCGGGTGACCAGAGGCCGCGACCGACCCGCTTCACGGCCCCGGCGCCGGATTTGATTTTGAGGAGGGGCGTCCGTTCATCTGCATCGGCGGCCATCGGGACGGGTGGTTGGGTGTGTGGATGGGATAAGGTACGGTCACAGAGAGGGTGGAAGAGAGCTTTTAGGTTTCGCAGAATCACGCCTTTCGTCCAATAAAGTATTTGTTTATGAGGCTCAACTCTAAAGATCTGGTAGAACTAGGAAGGTCGGTTGAACGTTTCGCAGGGTCGGAAGGGGGGAGGATAGGACAGGATGGGAGAGGAGAGGGGTTCGAAAGGGAAACAAATGGTGACAAAGCCGGACTGGGCTGAATGGGGGGCATAAAGCGATTAAAGGTCACTGGGTGACTGGGGGGGTATAAGGTGTGGTAAGAAAAAAACGAGTGAGAATTGTATGGGTTTTCCTGCGAGTTCCCCGGATTGCTGGGATGTCTGTTGCTGCTGGACCGTTTTACCGAAAAGACGTGCGGAATCCCCGCTATTTCGTCAGGAAAACGATGGGTCTCCTACCTTTGGGTTCTTCTCAAGAGGAACTTTGGTGGAGCACCACCGAGTCCTGACCGGTCACCGGTGTTGGTTAACGGATTGAGTGGTGCCGGAAGTGTGAGTGAAGGAGGAAGTGTGGGTGTGGCGGAAGAGGATAGCACTCGGCAAAGCCAACAGATAGCCGCCTGAATGACTCTCACAGAATGGTTAGAGTATGCAAAGACCTTTGGTTTCTGTTGGCTGTACATAGTAAGTGTGGTATTTTGGTGTGTGTGAGAACTGCAAAAGAGCCGATGAGATGAGGGGGGAGGGGCGGCCGCCGATGCAGGAGCCGAGCGCGGCCTTGTGTTGCCGACCGGGAGTGGAGATGGTGGGGTGCCGGATAGCTTCACGGGTGCTGATAGGTCCGAGATAAACTCACCGGAGTCTAGACCCGTTGGACCGGCGCAGGACCGGAGCTTGTCCGGGAATGCGCTGCTTATCGTCGGCCCTGAGCTGCCGAGGGGGCCGGCCGACCCCGGCCTTACATCTACAGTCTCATTACCTTCATAGTATACATCGTGAGTCTCTTGGGTCTCTTGAGTGTAGATGGAATCGCTTTTGTTCAAATCAGCAAAGGGCTCGGAGTAGACAGCCATGTGTGGTACAAGATAATCCTCGTGAAATGATACCCCGTGCTCATGCTCCTCATCATCCTCTGACTCCCTCCTATCTTAAAGCAAAGGATGCTCCAGTACAAGCTTACCAAACTTGCCCTGGTCAGCAACCTTCTTCACCTCCTCCAGCGCATCCTCCGCCGTTCCCTTGAAAACATCCACCACAGGAATCGAGAACTCGGTGCCGTAATTCTCAACAGACCACATCAACGCCTTCCACATCCTGCCCCAATCCTCCAGCCGTGGAGGGATCGTGATAAGGGGACCACCGCCCAGCTGTAGTGTGATTTCCGTGTTCGCCGATGCCAGCGGCATCTTGATTCTCCCACCCGGCTTCGCCACGACAGACAGAATAATAGCATTCTCATCAACACAAGCCTCCGTCTGTGATGCCGAGGTGACCTCACCCCTTGAACCCGCACAATCGGCCGCGTAGCGAATTGGCCCCGCGCCAGCCTCCTCCGCCGCCTTCTTGATCTGAGAAATCACGTCTGGGGCGTTATAATCGAAGCAGCGCGTCGCCCCCATCTTAGTGAGCATCTCATGCCGCCCGGGCGACGCGGTGACGAAAATGGGGCTCGCACCGCTCTCCCGCGCTAATTGCAGCATGCAAAGTCCAACGCTGGCGGATGCGCCCCAAATAAGTAGCGGACCAGCCTTGAACCCTTCCTTTGCCTTCTCCCCAGGGAGAGGGTATCCAAAGATATTGTACAGCCCGTCGGCGGCTGTGGTCAGCACCACCGTGAGACTCGCGGCGTGCGTCTGGGGCAGGTTATCCGGAACCTTGAAGAGCATATCTTCCGGACAGCTCAGGTACTCCTGATGCGCGCCGTGTCTCATTGGTTTGCCCATGCCGGTGGGGACGTAGCCGGCCACCAGGTCGTCCGGCTTGAAGGCGGACGACGCATTTTCTCCAGCAGCCCGGACGACTCGGCCGCAAAAGTCGTAGCCGAGGGTCACTGAGCGGACGCCGATGTATGGTGCGTGTTTGACGTCGGCGGGGTTTACGCCAGAGTAGAGAACCTTGACGAGGACCTCGCCATCTACGGGGTCGGGGATGGGAAGATTGCGGACGACGGAGAAGTTGCAGTCTTCGTCGACATAGAGCGCCGGCGCCGTTGATGTTGTTTTGCTGCCCATTGTGAGGTTTCGTTTTTTACTGTTCTAATGGGGGTTGACTTTGGCTGCCCGCCATAATTATCACACGGCAGACCAGACGCATCTTATGCAGTAACTTGTGGCCATGGACAGAACACTTCAAAACGTGGAATTGACACATTTGTTTGCCCCCTTTCGCTAGCGTCCACTTCTCCGGGTCGCGACCCTCTCATAAAATCGGGCATCCGGTGGGAGGTGGGCGGTTGAATAAAGATGAACGGAGCTCTCAAGAAGAATCACGGACGAATACGGCCGTCTCGGACAAGTTGCCCGATTTATTCATCGGCCAACGGAGGGTTCCTAACACCCGAGGTCGCCGGGGCCCATCTCTAGACTCTACCGGGCGGGGGGTGGTAGCGTACAGTTGACGCGCCTCGGGTGATCAGCAGGGCCAAATGGCGGGGAAGAACTCAAACATATGCGGCATGGATATGTCCAGGCCCTCTCCGACGTATCGCATGGCATAGGCAGACTGTAGGGCTACATGTGAACTGGTCCCAGGTTGAGTCCAATAAGTACGAGGCCCTCGGGCCTCCCCCAGGCGAATATTACCCCAAGAGGGCGAAAATGGCAACGCCATTGGCTGGTACACAAGTGGGAATCTGCCGTGGAGCCATGCCGGTGAAGGGGGGCCGTGTTTCTGAGCGTCCTCGACGATCCGTCATCAGGAATTGGGTCAAATCCGAGGATTTACAGAGTCCCCTGAGAGGTGTAGACAGGCCGGGGAGCTCGGATTTATGATGGTCTCGTATAATAACGATATAACAAACATGCGATGCTGCCGCCATCAAAAAGGCTAATAGTCTTGTTCTAGACAAACATTGTACCTGCATCAACGGGAATTTATCACTGCGAGTTTGTTAGATTAAGCAACAATGGCGCCACTTATCGTCAACAACATTGAAGTCATCCAGACCCCCACTATCCCTCCAGCATGGCCAACTCCCAAAGAGCCTTCCCGCGTGGAGCTCTCAAGCGGAAGTCAAAAGACCCCAGAGCATCGTCCGCTCCCGTGCGACATCATCCTTGAGCGGGACCAGCCGTTGACGCTGCGCGACGGGACCCGCATCCGGATTGACATCTTTCGGCCGAAGACGGACGAGAAGGTCCCTGCCATCCTGATGTGGTCGCCTTACGGGAAGACTGACACGGGTACGGCCCAATATGATGCCGATTGTGTTGTTGCGTACCAACTACTAACAGTATTTTCCAGGCACCCTGAATCTCCACGCAGTTCCTTTACGATGTGGCGTTCCCCTGAGCAAACTATCGGGTTACGAGTCGTTCGAGGGGTGGGATCTCCCTTACATGCGCCCTTACTATCAGACCTGAAAGACTGACTTGCCTCCAAGACTAGACCCCGCTGAATGGGTGCCGAAAGGCTATGCCATCATCAACGCAGACGCCAGAGGATGCGGTGACTCTGAAGGCGACATGAGGTCGTGGGGTACCCCAGAGGGCCAAGACGGCCACGACGCCATTGAGGATATCGCCAAGCTGCCCTGGTGCACAGGCAAGGTCGCCATGGCTGGCAACTCATGGCTTGCGCTGTGTCAGTGGTACATAGCCGCCGAGAGGCCGCCTCACTTGGCGTGTATTGCCCCTCTGGAGGGTGCGAGCGATCATATGCGCGAGAGTCTGTGCCGTGGCGGGATTCCTTCGATTGGGTTCGGGTCGATGATTAACAATGTGGTTCGTGGTAAGTTGCACGCCTATCCATCTATAGGCTTTAACTATTCGACTCAACTGACTGTGCATCAGGTCGTGGTCAGCAAGAAAACAGCGTCGAGATGCTGCTTAAGCACGGGCAGGGTCTCAGAGCGTACTGGGATGACAAGAGGGCCCGCATGGACAGGATTGAGGTCCCGGCCTACATCTTGGGCAGCTATTCGACGATGCTTCACACCATTGGGAGCTTCAGAGGTTTTGAAGAGATTCCTCACCAAAATAAATGGTTCGTTCAATGCATGCACCTGGTCCAGGTCACAGTTAGTTGACTTCTTCCTAGGATGGTGACTCATGCTACGCAAGAGTGGTTCGACCTATACAGCCAAGAACGTACCGATGACTTGCAAAAGTTCTTCGACCGCTACGTGAAAGGCATCGACAACGGGTGGGAGAAGACTTCGCCGGTAAGGCTGGCCGTGCTCGGCTACAACAAGCCACCCGTGATCGATCTCCCTTTTGACTCTCTTCCTTGGCTATCACCGAGTGCCACGAACACGGAACTCCAGCGTCTTTACTTGGGCGCCGACAAAACGCTGCAGCATTCCAACAACACCGATACCGCAACCCTTGGCTATGAGGGCACGGAAACCATGGTCTTCACGCACACCTTTTCCAAGTCTACGCAGCTGCTGGGCCCAACCAAGCTCGTGGTCCATGTATCCTGCCCCTCGGCTACAGACTTTGACGTCTACGCTCAGATTCGCAAACGAGATGCAAGCGGCAAAGACCTCGAGCATATCAACATTCCCCTCGAGGCACTCCCCGTGTCTGATCCCAAGGAAATCCCCAGCATCAACCCGCTCAAATACCTAGGACCCAACGGCAAGCTCCGCGCCTCCAAGCGCAAGGTCGCGCCGGAGCTGTCGCCCAACTACTGGCAGACGCTAGCCCACGACGAAGACATTGAGGTCAAGGCGGGCGAGATCGTCAAGATGGAGGTCTGGATATGGCCCACTGCCATACAGTTTGATGCCGGGGAGCAGTTGGCGCTCAAGATCACCGGCTCTGATAGTCTGGTGTTGCCAGAGTTTGAGTTCCTGGCCGAGAAGCCGAAGAATGCTGCTGGTCAGGTTGTCCACTTCGGCGGAGAGTACGAGAATTACTTGGAGGGGCATTGGCATGATTGAAGGGCTGAGAGTCATGAAGCCCGGTTGGCTTTGGTTATTGTACACAGCAGTCATCAGAGTCGTAATTGTGAGATCAAGTGTATCAAGTTTCTACGATTACAAAGCCTCACTCCAACGCCTGAAGGAACTTGGAAAAGTCTAACGTCCCAAGGCCAGTCGCCGGATCCCATCCAGCAGTCGCAGACCACCCGCTTTCAACCTTCGTCCCGTAAGAGCAGCTTCCGCTAGATCCGCTCGTGACATCGTTGATCGCGGAACGGACCTTGTCAGAGTACAGCAGCGGGTTAAGGAATCCCAAAGCAGGCTTTCCCTCCCTCATGCGCTTGTCGTTGGCGAGAGCGATCATCGCAGCGACGACGGGCGTGCTGGCGCTTGTCCCCTTCTGCGTCCACCCAGGCTGCATCAGGAACCGGGACCCAATGGCCGAGATGTCCGGGCTGCCGCGGCCGTTCGGTGCGTACCAGCCTGCGTGTGATCCGTTGATGCCGGCAATGTACGCCTTGGCCGCGGACTCCTGCCACGCCGGACGCTCAAAGTACTCACTGAATCCACCGGAGCTGTACCACGCAGGCTCCGTCGGCGCATAGTTGCCCGTCGCGCCGACACCCGTGACCCAGGGACAGTCGACGGGGAACGTCGGGATAAACTTTGTCGTGTTCTTGCCGTCGTTTGAGATGCAGTCTCCTGAACCGATGCCCGCTGCGCCACCGTCGCCGGTAGCTACCAGAACAGAAACGCCGCGGGCGGCGACTTGCATGAAGAGGTCGCAGACGCGACGGGCGTACGGCTGCGGTATGAGCTGCTCGTCGTCGGTGTAGGAGATGGAGATGACGTCTGGGATGGTCTCGCGGGCGAGCAGGGCCTCGAGGAACTCGATCCAGGGCTCGTGGGCGCTGTCCTTGGGATCCTTTTCTTTGCCGTCGGGCCCGATTTCGGGACCGCGGCCGCCGGTGGAGAAGTAGGTTGCGTTCATCGGCTGGATGAATGGCATGCTGTACTGGATGTCCAGCAAAGCCTCGACGCCGTTGCCTTCGGTGGTGTCGCTGCCGCCGTTGATGGACTCCACCGTGAGGTTGTACTTTGGCGAGAAGGCGGTGGTGTTTCGGCGGGGGCTGTAGGACGCCAGGAAGGCTTGGAGAGTAGGAACATTGGGATATTCCTCTAGGAAGCCGGCGATGCCAAAGTCTGTGGGTGATGGTTCATTTGGCGGGCTGTAGTTGATGTTGTAGAGATCCACGATGCAGTCGGGGGTTGTGTAGTCCCAGCAGCTTCGAGGCACTGTGATGCGTCAGTGATGTGGTGACTTAGAAACCTGGCTATTGGGATCCGCCATGAACTTACTCGTGCTCTGTCGCTTTACTTTGCCAGACTCCCTCGCCTTGATCTGTCGTCTAGGCGGCTTGCTCATGAACTGAGTAACCGGGAAGACAAAGTCGACAACCTCTGAGACCTGGGTCGGAAGAGTGTACTCCTTGGCCCGCAACACAGCCTTCTCGCTCTTGTACTGATACTTGGAGAACTTGCAACCCAACAAGCGATTCGCTTTGACGACGGTGGTGTTTATGCGAACCCAAGGGCCGTCCTGAACAAAGCTCCGAATATCGTGAGCAGAAAGCCAAGTCGCAACGACAGCGTAAGCATCAGCGTTCGGCTCCTGGAACATCTTCAACAGATCGCGAGATACGTGTGCGCCATACTCGGCATGATCTGGGTCGCTGGTCACCTCGAGACGTGCCTTGAGCTCCGACAAGCCGGGCTGCTTCAACGCGACGGAAAGCTGGATCGTGTTGAGGTCATCGGCCGCAGCGATATGCCGCCAGCCCTGCGGGAGCTGCTTCACGACCTCGTGAACTGCATGGCCGCTAGTAGTCGGTTGACTGAGAGCGAAGCTGCTCAGAAGCAGAGTTGAAACTAACGATAGCCTCATATTCTCTGTCTTGTGGGCGTACAAGCTTGTGGGAGCGTGGCGAGTCTCACTCTCTGCTACGGTCTGCTTGGGCTTGCAGCGTCACTTCATCTAATACCAGCGGCCAGCCTTCAGGGGCCGGGACAAGCTTTTCGGCAACTCGCCCGTATCACTCGACCCGCTGCTTGGCGATGAAGAACATCTTGGGTAGGATTTGACATCATCGTGGACTCTTTCCCCCTCCAGGGGTACCCATGCAACAATGCTTTCTAAAAGGTGAAATCTCCGCCAAAAAGCTCGTATCCAAAAGATCGGACGACTGCCGAATCCCGGTAGAACAAGTCAAAAAGAATACAACCTTCACAACGGGGCCAACCGTCGGCCCTACCGCCCTGGGCTTAACCCAAAATACTAGACGAAGCTTGATGGTGGTTCGGTGCATTGAGCCAATCTCGCTTTGGCTCGACAATAGGAAAGCCGTTGATATCCACCAACTACCGTGCACTACGACCCCATATCAGCACTTTATTCGATGCCTGTCGCAATCTTGATACGAAAAATACTCTTCTCACGGCTCCCACCGGCGTTGGCGGCAGCGACTCTCCATGGGTTGTTTCGGGGCGATCATGGCCAAGCCGGGACTCGAGGCTGCGTGAACCTGCTTTCTCCGGAAAGTCGCCCGAATGTTCCTCGGTCTCGCAGGTCATAGGTCATATGAGATTCTTAAAAGTTAGTATCCGAAAATAGCATTAGCATGACCCCGGTCGTGATCTTCCCCGCCATGAACTTTCACGGACCAGGAGCCTGTGGCCATCACACCACGAGATGATAAGAGAACGTGAACCCTCACACCGGAGTTGAGCCTCTCTTCCACCACGCACCTCAGTCACTCGCTCAAATTCGCTCCTACCGACAAGATGCTTGCCCAGTCCCTTGTCATGACGGCCCTGGCCAACGGCGCCCTCGCGGCCATCCCCACCGCCAGCGTCCCTCTGCACTACTACTACGGCGGCGGCCACAAGATCGCCACGAACCTGGTGAACTCGGCCGCAAACACCTCGGTCGAGGTCGTTTTCGACCAGGGCTCCGAGAACTTCTGGGTCTTTGGCCCGAACGCCATCAACAACTGGGGCTGTACCGGCTTCTTCTGCCAGGGCCAGTGCAACGCCACGGCCGAGCCCTTCTACGACTACCCTCACAGCGCGACGGCCAAGAAACCCGAGACGTTCGTGACGCAGTACGCCTACGGTGGGTACACCAAGATTGTCCAGGGCAAGGAGAGCGTCAACGACACATTCCTCTTTGCCGGCGACGCCGGTCTCACGTCAAAGGTGGACGCCCGCGTGGCTATTGCCAACTACATGCAGCAGCGCCTGTTGGACGGCGGCCAGTGCAAGCCGGCCCCGTATGACCTCGGCATCCTCGGCGTGGCGCCCTTCTACCGTACCGCAGAGTGGAACACCACCGGCCCTCATGTCCGTCAGGATCTCCTCGAGAAGGGAGCCATCAGCGCCCCCGTCCAGAGCATTTGGTTCGACGAGGCTCCCGCTGACTGGAAGGGCACCTTCACCGGCAACGCCGTCTTCGGCGCCATTGACCTGTCCAAGTTCACGGGTGACCTCGTCCGGGTGCCTCTCGTCGAGAACGATGGTCTCGGTGCCACTGTCGGATACTTTGTCTCTCCTCCCACCGTCAAGGTCAAGAACGTCACCCTCGACAAGTCGGAAGTGACCACAAAGTCCTGCATGATCGACTCTGGCACCCAGATCAACGACCTGCCCATCGGTGATGCTGGCCTTGCAGCCTTCTTCGCTGCCGCCGGCCTCACCCGTGATTCCATCGGTCACGTCTCCTACAACGGCAGCTGCGATTCCGTTCCCAAGGACCTCACCATCGATCTCGAGTTTGCCGGTGCCGACGGTAAAAGCGTGACCATCAAGACTCCTATCCGTAACTACATCCGCAACAACGCGGATGCCGAAGCTGGGCTCTGCGCACTCAACATTGACACCGGCGCTTGCATGCTTGGTGCTCCCTTCGCCACCTCTGCGTTCTTCGCTGCCGATGATGCCAAAGGCGAGATTGCGCTGGCACAGGGTGGTATCTCGAAGAGAGGTAGCAAGGCGGATGACGCCTCTCTGTCTCTCACTCTTCCTTGAACAGGGATTTGGTCGCGTGGATAGTAAATCAATAATCGTTAATCGTTAAATCTCAAGAAAGTGCAAGTAGCCATATCTGCGTGGAGAAACATCAAATCCAATCCGTCATTGATCTGATATACCGCTCATGAATCCGCTCGGTGGTGGCAATCTGGTACAACACAATACAAACCAGCTTAAAGTAAAGGCGCCTTGCTGTCCACCCGCGTCTTGACTCTGACGTGGAAGTCCACCGGTCTCAAGTTGAACCACCCGTCCTGTTTCAACTCATACGAAGGATCCGCCATAGTGAAGTCCACCTCCTTGATCAACTTGGCCACCACAACCATGTTCCACAACCACGCATAGTGCTTACCAATGCACTCTCGCTTTCCATTACCATAGGACCTTCTTACACTCAAAGGCAGCTGCTCGTACTTGTCACCCATCATACGCTCAGGCTTGAAAGCCAATGGGTCTTCGAAGACCGAAGGATCCCGGTTCACACCCGCGAGAACGACGATCATGGGCTGGTTGTAGGCGATCTGATACTGGCCTCCTGCGAGGAACACGGGGCTCTTGTCACCGTCCTTAGGGATGGGCTCAATGTTGAACCCTGGGGCGGCGAAAGAAAGCCGCAGAGACTCGCGGACGATGCCCTCGATATATTTGAGCTGCGAGAGGTGCGCAAAGGTCAACTCGCCGTCACCGACAACACGATTGAGCTCATTGCGCGCGGTAGTGATGACATTAGGGTTCTTCAGCAGGAAGTAGATGGCAGTGCTGACCATGCCTGGCGCCGTGCTGCTGCCGATGGGCATGGAGACTATTTCGTCAATGACTTGGGTGTGAGTCAGAGCCTTCTCCGACTCGGAGTCCACTGTGCTGAGAAGGGCAGCCAAGAGATCCTTCCTGTCCGATGGATTGGATTTCCGGTATTGGACCAGATCTTCGGCGTATGCCCGCATCACTTGCTTTCCCTTCTTGAACTTGCTTCCATAAAAGAGCCAGTTGAAGAGACCAGGTCGATTAGGTCGCTGCATTGCCTCGGATGTCGAGTCCTCCATGCCTCGAAGCATCGGGTGTTCTGGTCCAGTAAGACAGTTGAGTTTCTTGCCGAAGAGTGCCAGCGTCGTAGCCTCGAGGTTCAATCTGTTCAGCTCGTCAATGGCAGAGACCTCAGCGTTGACGCCGAGGCCCTTCCACTTCTCGAGAAGCTCGTTTGTCGTGCTGAGCATGTCCGTAAAACGCTCCGCCACGGACGCTGCCGTCAATTTGGGGGCGATGATGCGGTGGGCGATGCCCCAGTTTTCCTCGTGGTCGTAGGCTGTGAACAGAGCATCGTGGACTGCGTATCGGATCTCCACGATGGGACCGCCGACGTACTTGCGGAATCGTTTCTCGTCGCAAAGCTCCTCTACAAGCGCGGCACCAGCAACGAAGACGATTGTTTTGTTGAGGACTTTGATTTGGAAGATCTCGCCGTACGTCTCGGACAGCTTCTTGAGAGACGCCCAGGTGTTCTTGGTGTCGATGTTCTTGATGTTGCCCAAAATAGGCACCCCTGGTGGTCGTGGAATCGGGGTCGCCATCGTGTGAAATATGAGGACAGTGATCTAGATGGAAGACTAGGATGGAATTTGGAGAAAGCGGTAGCTAGCGGGGACAGCAAACCGGTCCAAAAGAAAAAAAGCTGCCCGACCTCGAGCCTTAAAACGAAATGCCCAGCATCTCCCAAGTTCCCAGGTCTGAGATGTGGAATCCTCTTTGTTACCCCTTCGCGTCACTGGCCCAAAGCTATCTCTCGACTGTCTCACCGGGTCACGGCATCTCCCAGGCGCGACGGCCCGTATTTTGCTAACGCAACTGCTGTCATTGGGTCGACTGGCGTCGGTGTCACGGTGTTTGGCTGTTTTCGTCCAGTTCGGAGAATCATGTCTCACAAGGTCAGACACTACGCTGAACGAATGCTGATTGCTCCTCGCCGTTACACCTCTGCGGGGAGTCTGCATTGTGTCATGCTCGTCATCACATGAATATCGCCAAAATCTAGGTTTGACGGTGGATGTAGACAGAACATCGTCGTGCAAGTAGGCAGGTAGTCGGAACTCTTCTGCAGGTCGCGTGGGTGCGGTCCGGTTAAGTGTTGTTGTGAAAACGCCCAGCAAACTCCGGGCCCGCATCGGTGTCTCTGATCTTTCGAACTTGAAACTATGCGAAATATCACCAGATGGGGAAGCAATTCCGGAAATCTGCAAAATGATTCTCCCTAGCTGATAATCGAGCAAGACATGTATTAGTTGGCCAGACATTAAGCTTATTATCATTGGTTCGATATCGCTATGCATGTGTACCGCGTTGTCTGTGTACCATCGTAATTTCTCTAACCTGATAAAATACTTCCTACTTTCGACGACACCGACCATGCATGCCTTGTGTAGAACATGACATTTTGAGGGCAAAGTCACCCTATTGCCGATCTTGCTGGTAGTATTCATGAACGTCAACTCGATGCTTGCTCACAATGCAATGGACAGCTACTTACTCCACATGATGATACCCATATTCATTTTACCTCGATGGTCGACTATAACGTTCGCCGATGGCTGGCTTACCTTAGTTAGATAGACACCTCGTCAGATGTTGAAGGTGAGTCAATATTGTATCAAAACCTGACTGAAAACTACATGATATGGTACACATCCACTACACTCCTTCGTAATGGCCAAAAATAAAGATGCGACCAGTGTGGATTGAACACACGACCTTCAGATTGATTGAATGAAGTTTTCAATGGGTCTTGTTGACCCATACTTCAGTCTGACGCTCTCCCAACTGAGCTATGTTCGCCGCTCATCTTCGAGCCCACCCACCGTTCGATGGATTCATGTTCGCCATCGGCAACTATTCGACAATACGCAACAGAATTCTTAATATCACTTTCATCACGGATCAATTCGGTATTGTCACCTGGATTTGGGCGCAATGTATTCTTCACTCACGTCTTTGATAGTGGCCTCGGCCCGGGTCCTTGATACCTTCGATCTCAAGATAATTGAGTCCGGAGCACGGCTTTTAGGAGACAATTAGACACGAACACACTGTGAAGCATAGCCGAAAGTTTTTAGCAGTTGAAAGGAGCATTGATGGAACGACAAGATCGATTTTTGGAAACCCTGTTCAAAGTACATACATAGTACGTGAAGGCGTGCTCCCTATTTCCTGACTTTCCAGCACAGAACCAAGCCTCAAATTTTACTGATCAAGTCCGAACCATGAATCCAACGCACCCAATTTTCTGGTAGCTCTTGGACCGCCATTGTGTCCTGAGCACATAAGAAAGAGTCCACAAGTTCGGCAAACCCCTCTGGATATTGCCAGTGTGGAGCATGACCAGCATCCGGAAACTCGTAAACACTGACAGCAGCATCATACATTCGTCTCGCCATAGCTTGGCATGTCTTTCTTTCGAAGACATAGTCGTGAGATCCTGGTTTTTTCATAAGCAATCAGTACTCACTTCTCTAAGGTTTCAACTCTGCTTACTGTCAGTCAAGATCCATGATGTGCACTAACCCCTGATTATCAGAACCGGAATTCTCAGTTCGTCGAAACGCCCGAAAGAGCCTTCTGATGAGTGTTTTGGATTCATAAACTTAGCAAACGCCTGTACTTGACGTCGGGTGCTATCGGCATCAATCAAATCGGACCAATCATCTCTGGCCGCAAGCATTCTCCGAAACGTCGCTCTCCCCGCTGCTTGACTGGCATCTGAAGAGTGAAAACAAAATTCCAGCAGCGCAGCTTCCTGAGACTCATGATCATGTGCCATACGGATACCCTGAAAGGGTGCGGGCGGCGGGAGTATGACTCCTGGTCCAATACTTGGAAGGGATCCAATGAGGATCAGACGGCGAACCAAAGCTGGATAATTCAAAGCCAGCATCTGAGCCGCGCATCCGCCCATCGAAAAGGCCAAGACATCCACTTGATTAAATCCGAGTTGTACGATGAGTTCTGCGCAATAATCCGACCAGCCTGCGTAAGATGTAGGCACTTGTCCCTCGGATCTGCCGACACCAGCGTTGTCAAAGAGAATGACTGGCCGCTTCTCGGCTATCTTATTCATAGAAACCGGATCTATCTGGCTCATTGTAGCCCTGGTTGGTGTGAGACTACACTCTTCACCTGGATGCTGGCTGATGTGGACTGACCTGAATGATACGAGATGAATCACCGGAATCCCAACGTTCGGTCCCAACCAACGATACGCCATCTTCAAGCCCTTGACCAAGATTGACTGATTAGGAGCATTTCCGTATCGTGCCATATTCAAGCCGATAAATCCTGATGCTACGATCCTCAGAAAAAATAGCACATGTAGTTTAGCTAGACTCAACGTACTTGCCAGATTCTTGCCTGGCTTTATATCTTCACTTCTTGGTTCACTTCACGCAAGCACATGGGCTCGGTAACCCCAAATGTTGATCTCAATGGCAAGCACCACATCGCATGGGAAAACATCACCCAACAGAAGCTGCAAGGCAATATTTGCCGGCACCAGAAGAGAACCTCTCCTGCATTCCAAGAAAACCGACGGCTTGCCGCTACTCGAACCTTATCCCTCAGTATGTTCCCTCGCACGTCCAGAAATGCGCTGCACATGGCTTCAATGATTGGGGTGGACGGACGTACGACTACTGCAGTCAACAGGTGACTTTGCAGATGTGCGATAACCATGGGTAGATCAATGGAAAGCCAGTCAACTTTCCTCCCCAACAGTAGCCAATAACAAGACAAGTTAAAGACATTAGTACACTTAAGGAGCAAGTGCAGCTAAGGAAGCGATACCTGCATAAAGAAGAATGGGAATGACGTTCCTGTAGCAAGTTCCCCAGTGCCGCCCGTCCCACCCCACGAGAAAAGTCTCCAGCACGTTCACCGGCCGAAAGCCGTGAAGGTCCGCAACTATCTGCACTCATACTTTCACCGGCGCCGAAGCCAATCCGGGCTTTCAACGCGGCAATTCTTTACGATTGGTCGGGATAGAACCTCGCTCCGAACACCCAGGAGCGAGTCATTGAATAACCTGATGCAGCAAAGTCATCACTCGCAGAAACATGTGGACACCTTCGGTGAATGATGGGATGGCGGCTCCTGCCAAGGCGCAAGCCAGGCCCTGAATGCCACGACCTGGTCGCCGAACTTGCCGTAGAGGCTTAGCTCGACCACTAACGTCCACTAGCATACACGTTAAGCCTATCTGTTCAGGAAATCCCAGTCACGCGTTTATCCGAGAACGGAAATCCATAGTCGTGCTTTCTCCCAGCTTCGTCAGCAGGTGGTTTCACGCTCGAGAGGCGGGAAGAAGCTCGCCGGTTGCGGTTATGGAACATGGAAGAACACTGCCTTTTGAGGCATCGGAGGGTCGGAAGGTCGGAGCTCAAGGAATCATGAATTACGAGAACCCCGAGCAACACGAAGTGTTTGATTATCTTGACGAGTGCGACTGGATATACTCCAGATGGGAAGTGACATCGAAAAATGGGCCGCTAAGAATCCAACCACACCTACCCCAATGATCTTCAACAGGCATTTCAGAGCTGTAATCAGATTATCGTGATGGGGCCGGAACATCCCATATGAACATTGCATCGTGAGTCGTGACATACGACTTCGTTCCTTTGCTTCTCTTCCATGTCGTACTTGGGCACCTACCGATGCGTTTCGCTTCCTACATCCTACATCCTACATCACACTCCAGAGAGGTACATGTAAGCAATGTTATAGAACTTAGTCGAGCACGCGTTTTCAGCTCAAGCGGAAGTTACATGGGAGATATTCGTAGTTGATTTTCGATCCAAATTTACTGCCCAGTTGATTTCGACGCGTTTATTGACGCATATTCTGCCCATTGCTCGCTTTGAGTCATTCTTAAATTTCATTCAGCAACCACCAGACTAAGAACGGCAAGATCTGTTGTTGAAGCTGATAATCGCCTTGAACAGAGTTTATCAGCCCCCAAAGCATCTGCGTGGAGACGATTCTGTAAAGTTCAGCTACATTCCTAAAGGCAAAATCGATACGTCTTACTTCGGTCGTACGGAAGTAGAAGTAACGATGTACAATTGCTACGTGACTTGTTGCAGTTCGGATATCATAGCCACTTCCACATGATCTTGTAACCGACAACTCAAGGCAAGGCAGAATTACCCTGAAATGGAAAGTTGGTCAGGAAGCACTCTTTCCATAAAGACGGTATGGTTGCAATGAATTGAAGCTCCTCTAACCGCAGAGGACATCGGATAACATGGGTTTCGTTCGTTCTACATTATTTCGCGCTCAAACACTTTGAATATGAAGCCAACAGACTATCCCGACATACGGGATCTTCGAAAAGCTATAACACCGGGCTGTTTTCTTCCCTGTCCGCAGACCTCTCTCTACTACATCTTCAGAGACATCGTGGCGTCAGTAGTACTAGTTTACTTCGCCTTCAACTACATCAGAGAAGATCAACTCGAACAGACTCTGCCCTTCATAGCTTGGGGAGCATACTCATTCCTCCAAGGACTTATCTGTACTGGGATCTGGGTACTGGCTCACGAGTGTGGTCATGGGTCACTCTTTGTCTCGACAAAGCTGAATGACGGAATTGGATTTGTACTTCACTCCTTTCTGATGGTACCGTACTTTGATAGACAGTCTCCTGCGAGACGTTTCTGTGACCGAGCGTTGGCTGAGAGTCAGTCTCTTTGATCCTTGGAGCTCTGTTTTTAGGGATAAGAAAGCATGGAGCGTGTTGGCCTCTGACTGCGGTCTTGGCATCATGGGTTGCTTTTTGGGCTGGTGTGGCCAGGAATTTGGGTCAAAAAGCATGGTTCTTCTATACCTTCTGCTATATCTATGGGTTAACAATTGGTTGGATGTGTGAACCTCTCAAATTCTCCAACAGGTGGAGGCTTTTGGGGCGATTTCAGTTAACATCAAAGCAGTTGCCATCACCTATATCCAACATAACCATCCCCAAGTGCCTCACTATACCGATGAGGGGTGGAACTTCACCAAAGGGGCTCTATCAACAATCGACAGAGACTTCGGCTTTGTTGGGAGGCACTTCTTTCATCTAATCATAGACAGACATGTGGTCCATCACCTATTTCCGTAAGTTGCTCCTCGGAAACTAACTTCATGGAGAACTATTCAATCAAAGTGTATGTGCTAACCTCATCGAACTATAGAAGAATACTATTCTACAAGACTGATGCAGCCACAACTGCTATCAAGCCACTATTGGGGGGCTTATACCATTACGAAGGCAGGAGTTTTCTGGGTCAGCTATGGTATCAGTCTTGCACACTGAAGTATATAGAAAACGACCTCAATCGTCCCAGCTATACCCGATGGACGTTGTAAGTGGAGAATTTGGCGTTGGCATTTGGTGATGTGGGATTTGCATTTGATAGAGGCAGTCGCATCAGTCTAGATTTGAGAAATAGCATTGAGCATTGAACAATTGCATGCAAGCTTCCTGGAACGCCTGTCACCCGTGCCGAACCTAATTGCATGATATCTAAGACATTTTATTCCCGACACCTTCCAAGTTCCGACTCCGCTAAACCCCAGTTCTTATCTTACTTGGGCAGGTCTGAAGTTGAGCTCGCGTGAGATGGCTTGTGTTTGGGCTGCCACATCTCAGAATCTCCGATCTTGTCAACAGTGATACCAGCTCGTCCGGCAGGGTTCAAGCCAGCCTCCAATTGCCTCTTATAGGAAACGTTCCGCAGCCTCTCGGCTTCAGCTGGGGTGAGCTTCAACTGCATACAGGTTCAATCAGTGACTGTTGCGGACCTGAACATATCGAATTGGGCTAGAACTTACGTATATCTCGATACCAATTGCATGCAAGGCAAGTGCTAGCCAGAGTGCCATACCGAACGGCATGCCCGCCGCTGCACCGGCTTCAGCAGCCGATGTAGGGCTAATGATGTTCGCGTGGACGATTGTTTGCTGAGCAGGGTTCTCTCCAGAGAAATAGGTTGCACAAGCGGGATAGAGCTCAAGAGTTCGGTTCATGTTGTCAACCATAAAAGCCACTTGATCGCAAGGACGCGCCGTGTAGTATGTTCCAATGCTGCTGATTACAGCCGCGGCCGAGAACTGGATAAGGCGAAGAGTAATGATGGAGCCAGCCTAGTTGCGGTGTCAAATTAGGATTTTGTCTTCAATTAGACGCAGACATGTGTTGGGGTAAGCTTACGTAGAACCAAGCTCGTAGCATCCAAGCCCGGTGCTGCTCGATCTGAAGTCGCTTGATGTTGACGAATGCCAGCGTGAGCGCAGTGACGAACGCAATCGCCATAACACCAACACCAACTTGGGTGTCCAACGTGCCTCCAAAGGCATTCCTCGCAATCATCAAGGCGCCAGCAATCCCAACAAGTCCGAGAAGAATAACGACGTAGCCGTTGATACGATGGAAGAGAAGGACTTTGTGACGAAGTACAGGCACGAATTGGAAACATGCTAAAAAGCTGGCGGGCAAGATTCCAGCTAGGTGGATGATGAGACCGGCTTTTTCATGGCCTTTCTGGTAGTTGAAACATTCTCCTGGCGCCGCTCCACTGCAGAAGGTGTCGAAGTTGAGGTACTGAAATCGCGCGAGGGTAAACCCCATGAGTGCACCGAAGAAGATGAAGAAAAGGACGAAGTTATAGCCCTTGGAGAATCCTAGGGGGTTATAGACCTTTCGCGTTGCGGCGACGAAGCCATTGGCTGGCGGGCGAGTTGGCTGAACCATGGTCACTTGAATAATGTGATCTCGGGCGTTGATATGGCTGGTGTCGAGAAGATGTTGCGAAGTCGCACGATCTTTCAATTGGGTTGAGTTATGAATAGGTGTCTGGTATTTGAAAATTGTGTTAATGAGTATTCTTATTCTCTCCCATTCTCGTTCACTGCCAGCAAAGGTTTCCATCTCTTATAACTTGTAATTTGCACATTCCGTTGTCCTCTCATCGCGATCTCATTCTGATGGAGACAACTGCTAACGCACTCTTGGAGTCGACATGACCAGGATCGACACGCACTTCTCTGCAAGGTCTGAGAGGCGCATGGACGATTTGGGAAAGAGAATGCGCGACTGCTTAGCACACGGGGGCTGCCGTGTCTCGTTAATTCAAAGTTTGAAGTTGAATTCAACCGCCAAAACGCCATCTTGGCGTCGAAAGTTGAGCCTAGCTCTGACCGCCAGGGAGATCTCTCAATCTCGCCCAACATCCTACAGACTCATAGTCCACAGCGCGCACAATGGTTCCCAAACGGGGTTAGTTCCGTTCTGCTTTCACAGCCGTTTGAGTGGATTCACGTAAGCATGCGGGCGTTGAATACGACTGGGCTTAGCCCAATCCTTCGCCCCAAATGTTTAAGCAGCGGCGCATCCTTCCCCCGTGTCTTGGAAGAGAATGTAGTCGTCATTGAGACTGGAGGTGAATGCTGGTTTGATTATTCCGCGAGCTTCGTCATTCGCTCTAGCCTCTCACTACCTAATCTCTCAGTTGCTCAGCCATGGGAAGTCTGACGCATCCCATACCCAAGATCTTGGCGTCTGTCCGCGCGCACCGTAGGGCGAAGGCTACATACAATCTTACCGATTGCTCGCGCCGCGCACTCGGTACTTTTTCGATTGAACTGCTGGCCCGAGAAGGACTTTAAGATTCCTCCGTAGTCATAAACGGGCCACATCCCGCGCCGTCACCATGCCTTTTTGAGAAGCATCTCGCGCCGCGAACCCACATCACCCTCCCCGACACCATTGATACTTTCCTCGACATGGTCGGAGTTCCCGGACGCTCCAAAGGTTGCAACACGTGTAGGAAGCGTAAGAAAGGCGTAAGTCTGCCAAGATGGGATGATCAATTCGTCTGTTATAACACGACGCGTCCCGCTGCTGACAGAACTGCTGCCAGTGCGACCTACAACGACCTTCATGCGGGCAGTGCATAAAGGCAGGCTTAGAATGTGCAGGCTACGAAAGGAAACGCATCTTCGTCAATGTGACCAAGCCGCCGACGGGCAAAGACTTCAAGGTGACGGCTTTGGTGCCAGTCACACCCGCCCTTGTTCAGACGCGCTCGTTATCCCAGTCTGCCTTTGAGGAGCGGATCCTCGAGCTCTTCTGGGATGGCTATATGCCTGATGCTCCGATATGCAGTCCCAGGAGTCCCATCATGAGGTATTCCAACGCAGACTGGGCGACAACCGTGCGAGATCTCTACCGCACCGACGCCGCCTTGCGTCTGAGCTTACTGGCGCTCAGCTTGGGCACCATAGGTCGTCGCGACAAGCAGCAGTGGATGATAGACGATGGTCTCAAGTTTTATTGCAATGCCTTGACTGAGATGAATGTTGCCTTACGGCATCCCAAAAGATGGAAGTCAGATGCCTTGATGGTGACTTCAAGAATCCTGGGCTTCTATGAGGTGAGCAAGTAGTCTTCGCCCGAGAACAACATTGAGGCTCACTAACTCCCCCCCGAAAGTTGCTCTATGGAGCAGACGACCGAGAGCGACATGGTATCTCTCAAGCTGAAAGTTGGGAGGGGCATTCTTTAGGCGAACTAGCCCTCATCATGCAGCGGACTCCAGAGGCACATATCGACGGCCATGGCCACGACCTGTACGCTTCTGGTCGACTTCATCTGGTCAGTTGAAACCTGCCCTTCCACATGAATCAAATCCTCTCTACTTAAGTCATGCTGACCACAAATTGCAGGTCATATCTCACGTCAAGCGCAGACGACGGTTTCCGTTAAGCCACCCGGCCTGGAAGACGGTTCCGTGGCAGAATGTCCCTAAGACCCCAAAGGATATCTTGATCGACGTATTCGTTGACATCCCTGGGCTTCTGGAAGACCTGGACCACATGAACAGCTGCAAAGACCTGGAGGAGAAAGAATTATGGCGCCTTGCTCTGATCAAAGAGTGTTGGCGAGTGGACGAAGAGCTCAATTGGTGGCTCGATAATTTGAGCCCCCAAAAAGAACTTGAAGAACTCGCGACTCGTGGCTCAAATAGTCCGACAGCCTGCGACGTCGCTGTTGCATCGATCATTACGTTATACTGGACTATTTGTATTCTCACCTACAGCACTCTTCGCCTTGCAATCGGCACAAAGTCACCGGAGTTGCCCGAACGAACGGACCCCCGCCTCTATTGCACCAAGATAGCCAACATTGTCGACGTCTTCTTCCATCCATCTGCGGGAACTTTTGGAATACAATCAGCGCCGTTGCCAATCGGCATGGCTCTGGTGTTCCTTAACTCGTACGAAGAAGGGTTCAACTCAGAAACCAAGTTCAAGCTTGTAAGCTTTTTTGGACGGACCGCAAACAACGGCATCAGTATTGGGAAGTTCTTGATGAGCACCCAGAGAGATGGGCTCAAGCCCAAGACCAGCGTCGAACTGTCACCCGAAGGTATCAAGGCAAAAGCAAAAAGCTGGTTGGGCCTTGTACCCCGAGAGGGCCCAGTCTGCCAGCCATTGCGATCTGCTTCAAGCCAGGCACTAGCCTGTCAGTGAAGCTCCCTGTGGTTTCGAGGCAGATCTAGCGATGCAAGAGAAACACAAATCTTCCTCTGCGGGGATAGTTATGACAGGAATGAATATTTTTACGCAATCCTTGACTAGCTCACCGAGACGAGGGCTTCGTGACTCCACACATCAACCACCTGGCTCCATAATGCGCAAAATTCTCCCCGACACCCATCGAATTGGCACAACGTCGCCATCAACCTCATCAGCCCTGGTGGTCTAGCGGTATGATTCTTCCTTAGGGTTATTGAGCGATCAAACACCATCTTGGAAGAGGCCCCAGGTTCGAATCCTGGCCAGGGCCGCGATACCTTTTGTCTCCTCCAGGAGGATATCCTTGTCTATATAGTGAATGTCCCAACTTCGCTTTTTTTGTGTTGTTTCTGGCCACCTCGTTCTTCCACTGATGTACCTCAACTTCTTTCTCTGAGGCGCAGCCGAGGGGCTCTGGATAGCTACATGTAGTTGCTCGAAGTTAGGAAGCTGGATGTTATGGGTGGAAGAGTATGGAAACACACAATCACCAGCATGATGGACTATGCCCATTTCTTCTTTTTCAGCAGTTAAAAAGCCTTAGTTATATATTTGAAGGCTTGGTGAGAGTAGGTCATTTAATGGCTCTTAAACCACGACTTTTGTATTACGCCTTGCTGATCTAGGGCTCAGTCCCTCGTCCGGACTCCGGTGGGCAACCCAGTGAATCCTAGGTTCCATATCAGGCCACGTGAAAGTGATTGTTCATTCTCTCATGGGCTGCTACTGCCACTCAAGAAGCCCGGCCAGGTACCCAATTGAGCCGGTTTCCGATTTCACCTTACCCAAAACTCGCCAGTAAGGCACAAACAACCAGTCACGCCTATGCCATATTGGTCGGCTTGCATTATATATCGAAGTCGGGCAATTATGGAAGCTCCCGTGCATTATTTCTCCTATTGGCTATAACAGAACTTGGAAGCATGACGAACACGACTTTAAGTTGTGCTGGGGGAGGCAATCCCCTAGGTGAGGCACAGCCGTTGGACTGGCCCGATCCGGTTCCGGATCCGACGCTGTCCTGCAGGCGAACGACGAACTAGACTGCATTGAGGTATCGTAACCCCACCATAGCTGTTGTTGCCAAGATGATGGGCAAAGCCGGGCTAAACTGAACCTCCGCAAATATGCAGTCACTCAACATCGTCAGGTTTCGCTTCTTTGTAGGCTCCTAGCGATTGGTGTGCTCGGGTTCGGGCAAAGGCTGTGCAGAGCTCGGCGGTATAGTTCGTGAGGATGAATCCTCAACACAACATTGCTTAGATTGAACTTTCGATGAGTTGGGTTTCCTTCGATTCACCGACATCGTCAGGACGTCATGACTTTCTAAACGAGAGACTGGATACAGAAGACATTACATCTAAGCAGAGACCTGTGCGGCGCAGACTCAAGTCAAATCGTGATATAAGACAAGATGCTACGAACTGCTGGGCTAGAATGAATGCAAATCAACAGCCACAACACATTGACTGAACACCATCGCATCACGAGCTTCAACCTTGAACTATCACGCTTCTCAGTATCCACTGCTTCTTCACATTTGCGAATAACTTCACCATGCGCCTTTCAATCCTTTCCGCTTTCCTCATGGCTGGTGTCTCAATGGCCCAGGGAGACATCGCTGCGCTCCTCGCCTCTCAGCCCGATCTCAGCACGCTGCTGGAACTCGTCAGTCTCGTACCCGGACTTGCAGATACTCTCGCCTCATCCTCCAACATCACAATCGTGGCTCCCACGAACCAAGCGTTTGCCAACGTGCCCCGCGATGTCCCTGAAGGCGAAGCCATCGAGTACCGCAACAACACCATTGCCATCGGGGCACTCCTTGCAAACCACGTATTCAAAGGGGTGTATCCGTCCAACGTGATCACCGATGTTCCAACCTTCGCCCAGACCTTGCTCGATATCTCATACATCGACTACAGACAGCCTTTCTCCAACTTCACTGGCGGTGCGTACAACGGACTTGTGAAGAATGGAGAGGATGTTTGTATCTTGTCTGGAGAGCAGACCATTTCTACTGTCACTCAGGCTGTTCGTACTCATTTGATGCCAAAGTTCGAGTGACCAGTGTACTAACATACAAGACAGGATATCAAACTTGGAGAGGGTATCACGATTCACAAAATCGACACTGTCCTCTCATTCGGCGCTCCCTTCCAGCTCTTCACCTTCCGAGCGGGCTACCTCGCCATGAACGCGGCGTTGGAAGCCGCGCACCTGAACTTCGCATTCGGTGAGACTGGAGCCGACGAGCAGGGCCTGAACATCTCTGACTACACCATCTTTGTGCCTACCGACGAGGCCTTCAAGTCAATTGGCTCTGTGCTTGAGACCGCTAGCCTTGAGACGCTTCAGGAGGTTCTTCGCTACCACATCATTCCCAACAATGTCATCTTCTCGCCGTCCCTGGGCAATGTCACCGTTCCATCTCTCCAAGGAACCAACCTCACTTTCACGGTTTTGCCCGATGGTTCAGCCTGGGTCAACAACGCAAGAATCACCTTCCCCAACACAATTCTGTTCAACGGTGTCGCCCACGTCATTGATAGGTCAGTCAAATACCATCAGCATAGCAAGTGATTATAAAGCTAACTTCCTGCTAGTGTTTTGAGCCCTGGAAACTTCGACAGGTCTTCCCTGAAGCCGGCATCCCCGGCATCTGAGCGAGTTGCCTTCTCCGGCGCATCCTCAGTTTCAAGCCTGCCCTTCACGAGTGTCTCCTTCGCGACGGACATGATGGCCTTCACAGCGACACCCAGTCTGCTTAAGACAGTTGCTGCCGTCGCTACCGCTACCGCTACTTGTGCTGCCAATGCCACCGCCACCGCCACGACTTCTGGCAGGCCCACTACGGTGCCAACCAACGGCGGTAGCAACTTGTTCCCCGGCATGATCTTGGCCCTTTCTGTCGCTATCGGATTTGCCGCACTCCTCATTTAAACCTCTCTGGATCTAATCAAACCGGCATGGAAAGGCTGGAAGAGGGAGGAGGCTTCGCGAAGGAAGCAAATCCATAGTTCCTAACTCAGCGCTTATCGAATGATTCCAAGGTAAACAGATATCGCGAGGATTCTACGCTCCCATAGATAATTGACTTTGCTACATACTCATTTACATGTTCGTTGAGTGCCTTTCAAGCCAAATGAGTCAATGGGCTACCATTTCCGCAATATGAATGGGCGGGCGGCGGCAATCCCAGCACTTGGACCTGCAAAAATACCTCAACACGTGGCTGATCAAAGTAATCATTCATGTAGCCAGATGTTGATGTAAAAGACACAATAGCAACCAAAAATCAGGTTGAGAAGATTATAGATAGGGAAATGTGTCGCTATACCAACAGACTTTGAGTGAGTCCTAGGTCACTAGACGCTTTTTAAGCAAGTATGTTACAGACAAATATTGAGTAGTAAAGCAATTTATGCTTAATTCATTATGACTCCCGTATATTCTGGGTATCATCTCACAACAGCAAGCTCCAAGATAGTCGCGTTTGGCAGACTTAGTCAGCTAGGCGTTAAGTACGCCGTCGGCCAGACAGGGCCTGATCTTTGCTTGAACCAATGGTCCATTCCAGCATATGAGTGCTTGAAAGTTTTGCTAGAGAGAAAATCAACATTCACTAGTATGGCAACGTTTAAATAAAGACCCATCTCCAATTATGTAGTATTCACCAAAACCTCGGCAAGCCAACGGTACATCGGCACATGCACGTTGATTAGACGGGGGAAGGCTCCGTGCATGCTCCGTACACCCCCATTCAGTCTCTCGCAGGAAGCTCGCAGCGAGCTCGTAGCAAGCACCATACTAGACGAGGGCAGCGGCAACGTGCCACGGGGTACCACGATGGGCTGATGGTTTGATTATGGTGGTTCGGTAACCACAACATGCGATTTATCCTCCACCGTGGGCCGTTGTGGTCCGTGATTCCGTGTGGGAGGAGACTTGCGAAGACCAAGACCCGGCGCTAGCACCGCTGTATGAGAGCCACTTTTCCCGGCATCGTCGCGCCTAGCTGTGACGGTACGTTGAACAGAACTTGGCGCAGGAAATCCCAACTGGTGTACACCTTATGGTTGTAGGGCACTGATTTTGTGAATTTCAATGTTTTTATATTCTTTTTCACAAAAGTATTTTGGGTTGTTTTACTGAGCAGAGACACGTGCCCTTGTGCACAGAGGCGGGAGGAAGGAAATGGTCGCCTCTACTCCGAATATTCCGTCTCCGGAACCCGCCGTCTCTTGTACACCAACGCCAGCTGACAAAACTATTGATACAATCAAAACATGGGTATGGGGGGTATTGGTCATTGAAAACATGTGAAAAAGTCCAGACGCCAGAAAAGCCAGCCCGTTCGTTGTCGCCACCTTTCCATCAAGGGAGTAGAGTCACACGGGGTGGCAGTGTAGGTCGTTTGCTGATGTAGCGCCGAAAAATTTTCGTTGGAGCCTCAAGGCTGCGAGGTTGTGGTAAAAAAGCTTGAGGTGCCTGGTGGATGAAAGCTCGGAATTCATCGGCTTGGGTGGTAGTGGTGGGGGCCATTTGCCAGCCTGGTTGATGTGGGTGCGCGTGGTGTAAGTTTTCCCCTTTTCGCTTTGGGCCTCGGAGTCTCTCTCGGTAGAATGTAGGCACCGTCGTGCTGGAAGACTTTTCGATTCATCCTTTCGACGTTGTTACTACATCTCGAGTGTTGCTCATTTAGAGGCAGGTTCGGCACTCGTGGTGGCCGCACGACGGGCACGAGTTGCTGATGACGATCATGCTTCCGCACTTGCAGCAGGAGGGAGCGACGGGCATGTTGGCGACTTATTTGTTGGTGTTGTTGATGATGGTTTGTAAGCGTTGAGAGCTGATGTAGCTTGTTTGAGAGTTGTGTTCTTGGTCGTTGAGAGGGATGGTGATGAGCGAAAATATGAAGGAAATCAGAAAGAGAAGGAGGAGGAAAGGCTCGCACTTATAGACATTCACCTTGCCCACCTTCAACCCTCGAACCCGCACTCATTTGCGGCGGAAGTCTACCTCAACCCAGCCAACCCTCTTCGGAGCCTTGGACCCCTTGTCTGTCCGTAATGGTTGTGGTTCGGTAAGTGGTATAAGTGGTGGTGTGCACGGCTCAGCCGGGTGTATCTAGTAGGCCGAGGAGGAGAGGCAAGGCAAAGTAAGGCAACATCGGACAACCCAAGACAGGGTAGGACAGACATTGGGCGAGCCAGCGTCACAGAGAAGGAAAAGGCAAAGTGCCATGCCGGGTTCATGGTTGGTTGGACCCTGAGATGGGTTGGCCGCCGCCCGCGCAGACACACGGCTGGCCCAGCAAATCGGCATGCCGATCGAGTCGAATGCGGGGTTTAGTTCAAATGTTGACAGGGCCTTATTACAACTCGAGAACTCAATAGAAGTGCGAGAAAGGGACTCATACACCGAAAGAGTGAGAAGGATGCAGTGGATAGGCCCCCCGTGTCTCCCCAGCCGCCGCCCTAGCTCAGTGCTGCGCTTGTGTCTCTCAACTCTCTCATCTCCTTCTCGCGGGCGAATGACGACCCGAGGAGACCGCACACACCCTAGCACTGATGAGATGGCCTGACGTAGGTGTAAGGAACGTGCGCTAGAACGCCAAGGGGGAATAGAATTTGGGCGAAGACGCGAAGGGGGAGAATGCGACTTCGGCGGAATTCCTGTGATTCTCTTACTCTTAGCCATCGAGTAACACTTTTGGACGTCAACCACACGTTTGCCCCCATTCAGCTTATACTTTCTACCGCCAAGAATCATCTCTCCAGCCCTTACCCTTTTACCCATCGGCAGGCTCCGGGGTTCGGCGGGTGAAACGCAGCGCTTGGAGATGCACAGAGGAAATTGTCTGTCCTAGGTTGTGGGATGGCACACACATTGACGCGACCTTCATTTACTAGCGAACTCTCTCGTTGGCTTTGCATTCTTCCATCCCCTCTTTCGCTATAATCAGGACTGCCAGTGCTGCGCAAGTGAGGCATGGCACGACGCCCAACAGAGTTCTGACTGGTGGCAAGACTTGGAACTAGTGGCGTTAAAAAAGATAGCACAACTATAGAAAGCTCCAGACAGCTGCCAGCTAGCAGGCCTGGGTAGCTCTGAAGAATCCGATTTTTAGATGGAGGGTGCGAATGTGTATTTACATAGTATGCCTTATTCTGTCATCTGCATGCATGAGGCGCGGGAGATAAAAGTAGTGAGCAAAGTACTCTGCAGTTCGTCTCACAAGCTTTCTTGTAGCGCGTCTCCGGGTACACAATCCCCCCCACGTCGCTTGCGCTGCACGAAGACCTGCAGGCATCCTGACGCGGCCCAGGGTACACTACCTGTAGTCCGGTCCCGGGGCGAGGGGGGTAACGCACACATAGCAGTTGGTTGGAGCGAGACATCGTGGGCTTCCCGTTCATTGGATGACGAGGATAATTATGCGAATGCTGGGGAAATGGAAATGGACACCGAGCTAATGAAAGGCCTGCGATTACAATGTGGAGAGAAGACATGGAAGATGGAGGGGGAACTTGGAAGTTGGGGGGGGGGGGGGTTGCTATCCGAAAAGGAGGGGGAACACCATGATGCAGCCAACAGCCGCCGGGCTACTCGGGTCGAATGCCGGCGATGGGAATCAAGAGGATGATGTGGGAGGTTCTGACTCCTCGACCGGATGCTTGAGCTTGTCAGTCACTCTGACGATCCAACTACCTGACCAGCCAGCTTCCATTCCGTCCAAGGTCGAGCTCCAAAGATGAACAAAAATCTCGTTGATCTTGGTATGCCAACGAGGATGATCATCTCTTGCCCAACCGCCTTCCCGCCCCTTGAGGGCCTTGACGGTATGTTATGTCAAGTGCCTCTCTGCTACCCCGCAAGATGAGCGAGATCGACTCAAGTGAGATCTGTCGAAGCGAAACGGTCAGACTTGACGCTTAGGGGAAGGGGGTCAAAGTGGAAAACCTGGGGCAAGAATGGCAGCCTCTGGGAGGCCAAGCAGTCGCATCACTTCCCGCGCCACCGAACCACGGACGGCAAGGTTCCTCGATGATCTGGGGTAGCTCTGCTTCAGCCTTCAGAAGCGGGCGCTGAGTTTTGGCGAAGGTTCCAACAAGCAAACGCCACACTGCATGACACGGGAAAAGGGGGTGTGTAGCAATACAACAACGGAGCCTAACTCGCAATCAATCCGGGGAAGAATAAGACGGGCGAATAATACCAAAAACGGTCTTCGACAGAGCGGCAAATGAGCCCACAAAAACAAGGCTCCTTTTCGATATGAATATGACCAAATGTAAGGACAAAGAGAATGGGTCTTTTCAATGCGGCCTGCGTCGGCTCACACCGAAAAGAACCGTGGAGATGAATCGAATGACAGACAGCCCACGACTCAAGCTCGACAAAACGCTGGTCAGGAGCCCATCCGGCGATGTCCTTCATACGGGGCCTTTTCTCAGATCTGCTCCTCCGTTGTCAAACGTCCTAAACCCCGTTCAAGCATGAAAATGAGGCATTCTTGCGGTGCTGGAGACCCAATCCCCTCCAAAAACTGGCGGGTGCCAAGCGAATCGAAGACACTCAGTCGTCATTGCGTTGTATTGCGCCGATATTTTCCTTCTTTCAACGGCGGTCTGTTTTCGTGCTTCACTTCCTCCCCGCTATCGGATGAGTTGAATGTCCTGCACGCATGCCCAAGTTGGATATTCTTTTCATTTTCTCTCGTGTGTTTGAGTTCGTTCTGGGTCAAGGGACTTCTTGGCGCCAGGCGTGTGTCGTAGCACAGCCCAATGACGATGCCAAAGCGCGTCCAGACATGGTTGGGTGGGCAAGTGTCCAACTGGATACTACGTCTTCTTTCTCATCTTCTATGCATGCCATCCTCACAGCGGATATCTTCTATTACTACCATGTTTCTACGTCAGAAGAATCAATAAACATTACACACGCTTGAGATTAGGAACCAGCGGCGGTCCTGCGTATGTGCCCTGAATATGCCATTGAACCAGCACTAACTTTAGGCCCCTCAAGTTGTTGGTGACCCATCGCCGAAAGTGACCAAGCGCCGCGCTGAACTCGGTCTACCGGCCCAGCTCTCACCTTGCTTCCTTTCTACCTAGGCATATCCCCCCCTTTCTCCAGAGACTTGAGCCCTCTCCCCCAAGTTTAGCTATGACGCAAATGTTTCTGCTAAAAGTTGAACGCACGTTAAACTCTAAAAACGGCGCGACAGGGACCCTTGTGGGGACAGAGTTGCCCTCGCAGACTGTCAGAACAGCGGCCATCCCCGTCTTGGAACAATGCAACGCACCAGAGACGCTCTGCTGGATCCAGCTGCTGTGCGGCGCAGTCATTATTAGTGGGAGGCAGTTGGAGCGAATCATTCTCTTTTGATGCAAGGCATAACCCGTCGTTGCGTCGTCCATCCTAGCAAAAAGGGGACAGGAGACTGGGGACCCCTCATGTGGCAACGGGACGCTGTGTCGCAGCGTTCAGAAATGCCAGATCTTCTGAGATGGTCAAGATTCAACGCCGGACGAGACCTCACCACCTTTTTCGATTTTTTGGCTTCCTGCAGAGGGTCAAGATGGCCTTTCCAACGTCTGTGAGCCGGATTGAGTTAAGACCATGAGGATAAGCTGAAGCCTGAAAGAGGCCCTGCGTTGGCCGTGTGCGTCTGACAAGAGCGGCGTCTGAGTCACTCGCCTGTAAGCACCACAGCCTACGTCTACGGGCAACTGGAATAAGCTAGGCAGAATATTTCAGATCTAAGATGAATGGATTCGGAGATATGGCACAGGAAGAGGCAGGCCTCAGGGTGAAGCTGGAAGTTTGGTGCATCCGGGGTGTTAAATGCCCGTTGGGAGAGAGATTGAGGGCGCTCTTTATGTGTCTCTCGTATGCTGGTCCACCTAGAATGCTCCCGGTGGGGAGTCATGGCCGAGGCCTTTGAGGGGTTCACCGACCTAGGTGAGGCGAAGCATGCCCACACCGCCCCAACTGGTAAATTACTACGACAAACAGTGTACCTCAAAGACTGGAGATAATCGGAATGCCTTGCGGAAGGCCTTGCGCCCCCGTCCGAGGGCCGGGCACCGAATGGCCGGTTCGGCCAGCTTTCGGACCTCTGACTCCCCACCTAAACTGGGAACAGCCTCTTTGTTTGAGCTGCCTATTACGTGAACGCTGCCCTTCAACACCCATAGTTCTTGAGTATGGCGATACATTTCCCCTTTTTACAGAAGGGTTACTCCCACTTAGTCTTTAGGCAGAAGCAGCTAAGCTCCATCTGATATCTCCTGGAGACATATTGAGGAGAGATGGCGAAAGATATCATTGGATACCGTGTGTTCAAGCAAAAGACTATCGAACAGGCCCCTTAGTGAGGCCGAATTCATTGTCCGGCGTCAGCGTGAGTCTTACCGCATGTACGGATACCCCTCAAAGGATCCTGTCCAGTCATTCGGCAATGAGGCCAATTCTGTATTAAAGTAGACAACCTCGGGGCATATCTCACCTAGTAGATTGTGCAACTCCAAAGACCTGCATTCAATCTCGCATCTCAGCTCAATCTCGTGATTGTCACATTTGAAGTTGAATCCCAACTATCAACAAGACTTATACGATTCCACAATGGTTGTCTCTTACGTTCGAGTTTCCAAGAACCAAGTAGCTCACTGTATCTCTTAGGTCACCAAGTTTTCTCTCCAAAGTCTCTCGCAGAGCACCGACAATATCGTCGTTCAAGATGACGACAATAAGTCAGAATCTTCCTTCGAAGAGCTTAAGTCCGAAGACACCAAGGCAGAATCATCCAGGTGTGATACTCCAACGGCCACGATGACGGAGTACGATACCTCGGACGACGTCGCGTTGTCCCTCCACGCCTTCGCCGGGCGAGACGGCATCCTCGCGAAAATCACTCCCCCTAAACAGCCCGTGAAGCCAACAGTTCACGTACCCTGCGACATTGTCTTGGTAATCGACGTCTCTGGCAGCATGGGCGCCAACGCCCCGATTCCGGCTAATCCTGGTGAGGTGGCGGAGAACTATGGCTTGTCGGTATTGGACTTGGTCAGACACGCCGCTCTCACCATCGTGGAGACCCTGGACGAAGGTGACAGGCTCGGTATTGTCACCTTTGCATCCCAAGTCAAGATTGTTCAGGAGTTGATTCCGATGAACAAGAAGAACAAGGGTCTTGCCAAGAAGAACATCAGGAAGATGGTACCCACGGATGCAACCAATCTGTGGAAAGGCTTGATGGAAGCTATCACCCTGTTTAACAGGAACCCAGACGGAAAGACGGAAAGGGTCCCGGCTATGATGGTACTGACAGACGGGCAGCCGAACTTGATGTGAGTCATATACGTATCTCTCAGTGTATGTCTTAAGAGTCTTTGCGGCTAACTTTCGTGAAGGTGCCCTGGCCAAGGATACGTGCCGAAGATGCGCGAAGAGGTGAAGCTACTCAAGGATGGGAGGTTACCAGCCTCGATCCACACTTTCGGCTTTGGATACAACTTGAGATCTGGCCTATTGAAGTCGATCGCTGAAGAAGGAGGCGGAAACTACGCCTTTATTCCCGATTCCGGAATGATTGTGTGTTGAGTTGCCAGTGCTCGTTGGTTGCAATAGCTAACTCAAGTGGTGATTAGGGAACCGTATTTGTCCATGCTGTCGCCAATCTACAAGCAACATACGCCATCAATGCCACGCTGCGCCTTACTTACTCACCGCTGCTCACCCTTAAAGAGGCGATGGGCGAGTCTGTGAACAAACAAGAAGTACAGATCCTTGAA